ATAAACATAGAATCACGTGATATAAAATAGTTCAAAATTTATAACTGAAAAGGTACACTGTTATAAAGGATGATCTTTCTTAGAGGAAAACAGACAGGAACTCAGAGAATCTGGGATTTACTTCCAGCTTCGCCATCAGTTTGCTGACTGCTTTCTAGCAAGCCACTTCCCACTTCCACAAGGGCCGAAAAGATCATGTCAAATCACCTGGGATGCTGTCCCAGGACACTGTACACACAGCTACAGAAATAGTGTTTATCTGACGTAAGTGGAAGAGAGGTTATCTTAGGAGCTCAATCTGAAGACGGCTTTACCATCAGACTGCAGGGTTTCAACTGAAAACGCTGGAATAGCATCTGACTGAAGTCCAACACAATTCACTGCTTTTAGTCTTTCATCAGTTGTATAGATTGATAACCTTTAAAACTAAATAAGACACCATATTGGAAAGGCCAGCTAGCCCATTGGAGGGCTGAATTTGCCTTTAAAAAGATCTTGACAAATCTAAAAGGAAAGTGTGCAGTTCAAAACTAAAATGTATAAAAATAGAAAGGAATCTGAATAGTACAGTGGATTGAGATGAAACATCAATAGTATCATATGGCTGCAGTGGAAGGAAGACAACACAAACTTTACAGGGAGGTATGTAAGTCAAGAGTGTTTCTTGGCAGGTATATGAGGGAATCCTTCATTCTACTTGGCACTGACACACATGTGTCAGACCACTGTGTCCAGTGCTGGGCACCATGTTTTAAGAGTTATGAGCAAACCTGGGTGTTCAAAACTGAGCAATAAGAACAAAAAGTCCAACAGTCAGCACTTAGGCAGGTTAGCTGGTCAGTCTACGGAAATCACGTAAGGTTACAGAGGTCACACATGTACAGCGTAGCTGCCAACAGGAAGGGAATAATCTGATCTTTGTGCCAGATACGAGGAACAGCAAGACAAAGCTTTATTTGGAGCTTCAAAGATCAGGGTTTGATGTTAAGTTTTCTGACAGTAAGACAATTACTCACTTTGCCTAACAAGGTTGTAGAACCTCCAGTATCAGATTTTTTTACAACCAGGCTAGACACGTCTGTAACAACAACTGAGGAAGCACTGATGTGGCCCTTCAGCAAGGAAGGCAGGTTCTGTAGCCCAGCCCACATTGCTCCATTCAGCAACTCCACTCCAAACATATGATTTCATTTATTTACTTAAAGCTCCTGTGCTTACCTGATCTATCAGGAAGGAATCTTACTTCTATTCAACATAAATTATTTATCTTTTTAAAGCCCTTTTGAAATTAATTCCTACTTCTCAATTAAAATAAGACTGAAACATACAGTGAAGAGTTCAGAAAGATAAAACTTTTTGCAGACTATTACCCGCTGCACTGTTTCTCTCACAAACACACACCTGTTACACATTAATTTCTGGCCTGAGTACTTTTAGAAATACCTCTCATGTTTTCTTAGCGTTTACCATGTAGCTCCTCACACATTTCGTTAGCCTGGACTCTTTAAGCTGGCTTTTCCTCTGCTAGGCATTTGAATTTCTGACCTCCTGTAAAGTTCAAGTCTGTTTCTTCCCCTTTTCTCATTCCCTGCTGCACTCCTACAGAACCCACTGCCCAGGTGTGACACCTCTTATGGGTTATTTGCTTTAAGCAGGTGAGGCCCTTCAACTCACTGCTGCGGCATACCATGGCCTGCCAGGGGGGCCGCGAAGCCACCACTCTGCCCTCGCGAAGTACCGACAGGAAGAGGAAGCGGTACTGGGGCGGACAGCACCCACCTCTACCTCCCGCGCGTCCCCACTAAGCCCGAAAAAGGGCCGGCCCGCTCCAGCCTCTGCAGCACCGGAGCGGCCAGGAGACCGCCGCAGGGCAAGGGCGGGCACCGGGCAGCCCCCGCGCGGCTCAGGCTTAAAACGCCGGTTATGGCGAACCGCCGGGCACCTGACCTGCCTCCAGCTCCCGCCGAGGCACACGGCGGCGACCAGCCAGGGGTGCCCGGGGCGGGGGGAGGCCCAGGTGATAGGTGGCCCGACGAAGCGCCGCGGCCGGAGCCCCCGCGGCCTGCCGCGGTGCCCAGTCACGGCCCTGACTCAGCGAAACCACATCGGGCAACGCTACCCCACGCCGCTCCCTCACCGGCCGAGGTGATCATGGTGCCGCCCGCCCGGCCCAGGTACGGAGGGAGGTGGGGTCCACTCCGGCCCAGGTGCGGTGGTGCTGCCGCCGGGGTCCGCGCCGCTGGAGCTCTGCCGCCGCCCGGCCCGGATGTGCCGCGAAGGGCCCCTTCCGGCAGGACTCCGCTGCTCCCGGGAAGGGTGCCCGTGACGAGCGCCTGCGCCGGGCGGTGAAAAAGCAGCCAGGCACGAGCGGGACAGCTCTGCTTCCCGGGGTCTTGCAGTTTGCCGAAGGCGCTTCGCTCGCAGGCACCGCGCGGGTCATGCACATCCCACGGGAGACTTCACAGTCTCCCCCCGAGGGCTGTAGAATCCCCACGGGTGACCCCGTGAATGCCCACGTTTGCTTTGTGATCAGACAAGTAGCTGCCTCTGTCTGACCCGTACAGGTGGCATCTCCCACATGCTCGCAATGGGATGGCATGTTTTGGCGCACAGGCGTTGCCCACCTCTTGCAGGCCGCCTCTCTGGCCCTGACTCCTCTCACATACCTTGTAGCGTTGGGGAAAGGCTTCACCCAAACCCATTCCCCCTTGCAAAGGAAAGCACATCCACTGGTGCACCTGACAAGCCCTAACCAGAATATTTTCCTTGTTCATCACTTGGCAGCACAGGGCAGTGTCCAGATCTCCCACACCCAGGTGTACCTGAAGGTCCCCTAGTTGCAAAGGAACATGGAGTTATGTCAGCTCCTGTTTTGGTTCCAGTACAGGCAGATGGGAAAAAATGAGGTTTGTGGAGTTTTGCTTTCACCAAGGAAAACCCAGCTCAGCAGCAATGGTGCTGCACAAGACATCAAAGCACCCAGACTTCAGCAGCATTGATATCTACCTGTTTCTGCTAAATAGGAAAAAGTACTTTATGAAGGACTTTAATTCCTCAGGGAAACCTTATGGCCTCAGTTAACGAATGTTATTAATGACATAAATGACAAACCCCTACTCACGATGCCAAGAGGGTCAGCTCTGCTCTCCTCAGAAAACAGAAGATCTCCAGCTTTCCCCACTGCCCACAGGTGAGCAGCCTACTTGAGCTCCACACAGACCAATTCTGATGATCTTCTGGATCCATACACTGGGGCCACTTCCAGTCCCTCCCAATATGTTTTTTATTTAAATCAAGAGAAACATCAGTCAAACCATACATAATGCTGCTTTATGGATAACACCATGGCAAACAAAAACCAAACTGAAGCACCTTCCAGTTCAGAAATTAAATGTCTTTATTTTTACAGCAATCCTGTAAGATCACAGGGCCCTTCAATTATTAAATCAACTAAACATGAAAGACTATCTGCTGCACCTCCATATGCCCAGCTATTAAGGAAAAAGAAAAAAAGGGAAATAAAAAGAAAATTTAAAAAATGCAAGTCACTTTTATTCCTCAGTCAAAGGAAAACAATACTTTTCCCACCTTTTGTAAGCAAAGAAATCCTACAGAAATCCTGCAGGCTGGAAGGATAACTGGTTTTGGTGCCATCTCTGCTGACACCAGCTGCCTCCTAGGCTCACTCTCCCCAGCCCACACCCACACAGCAAAGTGTTTCTGCTGTGAAGAGATGTGACACACACTTCCCCAAATGTTTGGCATCCACCTGCCCCTTCCCACCACCTTATGGCAGCAACAGGATGTTACAGCTGCATTTCAGGTGAAGCTTTCCTAGGTAGACCAAGCTTTCCTATGTAACCAATCCTATCACAACATATTCAAACAAGCAGCATGATAATGCAGAAACTTGCTGAGCACACCTGGAAATGCTCACCATCTCTCCCACTCGACACTACCAACATGTTCCAGGCACCCTTCATTGCTCTCTCCCAGCCAAAAGGGCAAAGCAGCACCATCACTAAAGGGACCAACTCTAAACGCAAGAGCTGCTAAGCTCTGCTCCAGCATCACCATCGTAACACCAGAGAGGTAGGTAGGCACTGCTGTCCTCATCCTACTGGTGGGGAAACTGAAGCACAGAAAAATGGTTTATTGAAAAATGTTGATGATGCTGGTGATAGGCAGAGCTGGGTACAAAACCCATCCCCTACTCCAGGTAGAGCTAGGGAGATGCCAAAGGCCCACCGCTGGCCAGAGCTGGCAGGACTGCAGACACTTCAGTTGCCACTGTGAAAAAAGGAGCTAGAGAGAGAACAGACATGTAATGAGAACGTACTGACATAATTCAGCAGCTAGCTCAGAGGAGAGGTAGGCAAGAGGTGACAGGCTGAAGTTTCTGGTCTGAGCTAGTTGAAACTCCAAAAGGACAGCTAGCCCCAAACAAAACCCAGAGTTTGTGCTAAAAATCATACAAGACCCATTTTATGTTGCATTTAAGTAAGAATAAAAAAGGTTTTCTTAGCATTATAGTAATACTCCTCATAAACCAAGGATTTGTAGTTAATAGTGTTGCCCCACAGGCTACAAGCAGCCTTTTGGAACAACTTAAATAGATTATTTTTCTATTTTTATATTTATTTATGAAGCAGCCACAGTTTCTTGTACTTCAGGCCACCTCCAAGACCTGTTACCACATGGCTGTGGAGATGTCCAAAGTAAGATGCCCCTCTCCCATAACCCCATCAAGCATCAGCCACACCTTAGTGTCCATCTGCCACCCACTCCAACCCAGGCAAACCATCAGTCAGTCTGTGGGCACCAAGCACAAGCCAGAGGGATGGATCCTGCTTCCAAATCACACTTTGCTCCATCTGCCCTTACTATCAGGATCTTCTGAGTTATTTTTACTGTCCAGTGGCTGTTACTGCATTCTTCATATTATACAGTCACATTCAAGCCTCTTCTGTAGCCACTGCAGTCTCCACACCACCATGCTATTTGTCTTCTTTTTTTTTTTTCTTCTTTTTTTTTTCCTGATCAGAGAAAGGGGGGGAACTTCCAGCAGTAGCTCCAGGCATCCCCTGGCAGCAGGTGTTGGCTCTCTGGCATACACATCAGGCTGTCTTTTGACCCTGGGAGTTAAGCCGAGCAGCTTCTCTCAGTAGTGGTGGGTCCTCAGAGGAGGTGAGTGGGCATGCACCAGCTCCTCCTCCCGCTGCTCCAAATCCACTATGGACTACGTTAAGCACACAGCAGTTCTAAGTGCCTGTGCCTCCAGCAGCTTCTTCATAGTTTCCATTGGGGGACAGGCTGGTCAGAGCCACTTCTTCCTCAGTGTCCTGCGGGTCATCTGCAAAGAGCAGAGTGAAGTCAAGGGAGGTCTAAATGGGAAACCTTTATTAATGCAAAATGCAACTTAAGATGGAAAGAACACATAAGACAAAGCCATTGATATATACTCACAACCTAAGCATGGCTGATTTTTGTCAGAACTGATTTTCATTTTGGTTTACAAACTCCACATTGCTTCAACACATGGGTTATCTATGAGCAAAGGAGCTCACTGCCCAGCTCCCTGGCCTCCTGCCGTCTCAGAAATCGCAGCATAAACTGCATGGCCACCTGCCGGGCAGGCAAGATCAGGCACTAAATTTTCTGACCCTAGAGGACAAGTCTCAAAGCTTGTTTCTCAGTTTTCTCCAAGCCTTATGGTTTTTAAGCATTGAATGTGTTTAAGAGGCACTTGGACAATGCCCTTAATAATGTGCTTTAGCTTTTGGTCAGCCCGGAAGTGGTCAGGCAGTTGGCCTAGGTGATTATCGTAGATTCCTTCAACTGAAAATATTCTATTCTATTCCAGTCTATTCTGTTCTAGTGTAGTCTAGACTAGGCTAGCCTAGCCTATTGTATTTACAGTGAAGGCACTTCCTCTGCTCTATGTGCTCTGTGGAGCAGTCTGGATCTCCATACCACACCACCTTACAGCTTCCTGCTTCAAGGCACTTCTGCAAAAAGAAAATCACTGCTGGGAAAGGCAAGCAGCAGTGCCAGCAGTACAGCAAAGGCTGAACACTACACTATTTGCTATATGAAAAATCTCCTTTAGAATCAGAGAGCCTAAGGCTGACTGCTCTCTTCCTCTTCACAGCCAGCCTCAAATGCAAGTGGTTTGGGAACACTCCTTGCAGCCATGTTTGCAGAAAACATCAAGTAAGATAAGGGTGATGCTTCCAATTCATTGTTTAGACAGACAGCAGTTCTGCCAGAAACTCTGGTAAAATGCATCCAAGTTCAGCAGTGCTCTCAGGGGTGTAGTTGGGCACTGGACCTCACGTGATTTCATTTAGACATGCAAAAGGCCAGAAAACAGGGAGATGGCAACACAGCAGCCAGATGTGCATAAGTTGTCTTCAGTTTCTGGCCAGGTTACAGCCAGGAAAGAGACATCAGCTGCAGACCTGGAAATAGTTTCAGGAGACCACCAGCAAGAGGTTTGGCCATCAGGACAACCAAGGAGTCAGTGAGGAACCTCACAGCAGGAGTACAAGTGAGGGAGCTGGGCATACCTTCATGAATGTTGTTTGCAGCTTTTGCTTTGTGATCTTTTCTCCAACTCCTCCGGCTCCAAGAAACACACCGCAGGAAGGATGGGAGCCTCCACCTTCCCCTGTCTTTCACCTCTTCTGAATAAATGAGAGAAGATGAGTTCAGACCAGCAGGGGGTCAGCCCTACTGCTTCTCCACCTCCCTGGTGCAGACTCACAACATCTCCTCTCCTCAAGCCCAATGCTTCAGGGGAAAAACGGGTGCACTCTACAGAGCCCACCCTTAGAAAGCAGCTGCTGGCAATCCTTATTTCAAGCAGACACATCTCTGCTACCATCGAAATCTGTCCCCAGTGTCATTTTCTACCTTGCTACCTCACTAACAAAACCATCCTGAATGCAGCAGCCAAGAGCAAAAACCTGGCAGGAGCTCTGCAGGCACATGCTGGGGACTGACACAGTTAGGGCACTCCTGCAAAAGGAAGTTTTTCTTTTGAATTATCACACACCTTTTGCCACATCATCCTATTCACTGCTGCCCGCTTTATTAAGCAATTCCTCCCTTCTAGAAAGACCTACTGAACAAGCAGACTTGTAACACTGAAAACTACTTGCAAAATGCAAAGAGCATGTAGCCTCCATCGATGTATTTATTCTGGAGAACAATGAAGATCACAAGTTACTACAGGCTTTCAAGCCATTACACTAAAACACTGCACCAGGTCTCCAACAGCAGCAGTTTCCATTGAAATATGACAGGAGCCTTTCACCTCCTAATCAGATAACAAATTATAAACCACTTCAGTGTCCTTCAGCTTATCAAACCATTGCGACATGAGAGGGTTCACAGTGGCAGTCTTTCCTGCCAGTCAATAAACCAAAACCTCCAGCTGTAAAGACATCCTCTCCCCACAGTGTATGGGGACTCTGGCCACCATTGAAACATGGAAGAAGAGCAGCCCAACACACTCCTGCTAAACCCGAGAGATACAGGAACACCACTGCCATTCCTGTCCTGGATCCACTGCATAAATGACAGTGTCTGGGACATTCCCAGCACAGGGAGGAGGGCTGCAGCTTCAGAGCAACTGTCTTAGGCAGAGCTGAGCAGCAATGTGGGTAGAAGAGGAAGCTGGGCTGAAATAAAACAGGCATAAGCACAGGTACACAGAGCCTTACATTCAGTACACCTTGCAGCATCCTTATCCAGATGCATCTGAACAAGCCCCTTTTTCAGCTTAGCACAAGCCCCTTTGAAAGTCAAGAGGGAAAAAAGACAAGCTCAGCACTGACTGAGGACATCCTTAAGGTGGCATCCCTAGAACCTGCCTTGCAGGGTGCTCTGGAGCCCACGCCCATCTCTTCCACAGTCCCCTCTCACATTACATTAAATATATTATTCCCCTTGTGCCTTGCTTGTGGGGAAAGCCACGGGTGGAAGGAGATCAGGCTGCAATGAAGCTGCTGCCTGCCACTGCCAGGTCCCCACCTCCCTGGAGGCCACATGGAGATTTTAGAAGGTAAGGCTCACAGGGGCATGGAAAGAAGCTACCCTTGCCTAAGGTTGAACCCTACAGCTGATGAGTGTCCTCATTACATATGCAAGTCCTGAGACACTTACATGACCAGGCAGAGCATCGGCGGTGAACTAAAGCAACACACTGAGTCCTTCTACCCACCACGCTTACAAAGCACACTCAAACAGGCTCTAATACCTGCTCCAGATCCTGTTCCTCTTTCTCTACAAGTGACTGCTATGCTGCTTCCATGTCTGCCTGAAGGACAAATCCACAGCTAGCCACAAAAATAGATGTTCTGAGCCAAGCACCAGCAATGTGCAGAGGCAGAGAAAGGTCACACGTGCAGGGGTGTTTTTCTGCCTCTGCAGCTGCTGTCCCACCAGGCTGCTGTGACCAGAAATGAAGGGCTCACTGGTGTCTGGGAGCACACCAGAAATTCTTGCAGTGGGATCAATGTGAGAAAGACAAAAGCATGTGAAAAAAGATGGAAAGGGGATCATGCATACTTCCATAGAAAGAGTTGGCAGAAGATAACCCTGAACCCTTGCAGTGAGTCCCAACCACTTCAAAGCTACTCAACATTCAGATCCAGGATTCTGGACTGAGCTGATGGAAAGAAGCATCTGAGCTGCTGCTGACCATCCCCATGTCCCAGGCATCCTAGAGGACCCGGTCAATATGGTGCTGCAGGCAAGTGCCAGGATTCCTTGGGGTAAAGGCAGTGAGACAGCAAAGCACCTAGAAATGATGGGGAGCAAGGGAAAATTGGGGAAAAAAGTGAAAGAAGGAAGAAAGAGAAACAGTCCAAAACAAGCAGTGCCAAAGATTAAAGTGAGCCCAGGCAAGTTTGTGTGGCTGCTAAGACAGCAGAGCCAGCCCAGCTGCCCATGCCCCTGAGTTTGCATACAAACGTGACTCACATTTCATCCCAGGGCAAGTGCTGTTCCTCAAAGCCCTACTTAACACCAGCTTTCATCCTGCCATGCTCACCTTGCTTAAACTGACCACCAACAGATGCAAACACTTACTGTTCTTACTCATTATGTAAAGTCAGCACGAACATCTTCCCTCCTGCAGGAAGGTCAGGACCTGCCTGCACCCTACAGCAAGGGCCACACCCCAGTCCTGCATCCCCAGGAACACACATCCATAAGCATAGATGGCCCATGGTGTCACAACCATCAGCTGCCACATCCCTGCTATCTGTGATGACTGCTATCTGCTCTACTGCTTCCTAACCTACTGGGAAGTTTGTCCTCCCCAGCTGCCAGGGCTGGGAAGTCAACCAGAAAGAGACATTGGGAAGGCTCTGATCCCACCAGCATGAAAGAGAATTCAGTGGGAAAAGCAAATCTGACTGGATGGGTCAAGATCCTATCAGGGCTGATTAGATTCCAGTGGGAAAAGCCAGATCCCATTGTGGGGAAGGAAGATCCCATCAGCAGTGGTGAGATCCCGTTAGGCTGGGGTAGATCCCACCGGAAAATGGAACAAATTCAACTGTAAAAGCCCCTGGCCCCAGCGTAAACCCACCCGCTGTCCCCCGGCCGGTTCCCCCCCAAGTACCTGCGGGGTGCTGTAGGGCTGCCCGCAGGGCGCGGCAGGCGGCGGCGCGGCAGTCGCGCAGGTCTGAGGGGCTGCCGGGGCTGTACTGGGCTGCCTGCACCGTGCCGGGCGCCGGGAAGTGCCGCCGCAGCGTGGCGTCCAGCACCGCCGCGTCCTCCGCTTCCCCGCCGGGCAGGAGAACACCGACGACGGCGGGCGGCGGCGCTGGGGACAGGCGGCCGCGCACATCCCGCACCACCTCCCGCAGGCGGACCCTGGCCCCTTGGCCCCGCGCCGCCCCGCCGCGGCACAGCACCAGCAGCAGCCGCGCGTCCAGCGCCCGCCGCCCGCCGACAACCCGCCGCCGCGACTGGAAGCCCGGCCCCGGCGGAGCCTCCTCCCCCAGGAGGTCGCGGGCGAAGGCGGTCAACGTGGCTGCCGCCGGGGACCCCTCCGCCACCTCAGCCACCAGCAGCACTGCCCGCCTGCCACCCGCCAGCTCCACCAGCGCCCGCAACTCATGAAGCTCCTCCGCCATCCCCACCGCTGCAGCGCACCCTGCCCGCTCCCGCACCGTCCCCGGGACCGCGCCACCCCCGGCCCCGCCCCCCGGCTCTGCACATCACTCCCGACCCCGTGCCCGGGCACCAGCTCTTCACCCCCCGCGCCAAGCACCACCCCGTGGATTCCACCCCTCCCCGCCCCATGAAAGGCGTCCCCCAGCATCTCCGGCCGCGTCCCGGGACCGGCACTGCCCCTCCAGTGAACAACCCCTGCTTGCTGCCGGGTGGGCAGAGCAGAGAGGGTACTAGAGAGGACCTGGAGCCCCCTCAGAGCCCTTGCACTGGCCTCTTGCGAGGCTGGTCTTGTTTCCAATAGGGAGGTGATAAACTTCAGGCAAAGAACGTACTGTGGAGGGGCTGGGAAGCTGAGAGAGGGATGAGCAGAGGCTGTGTGACTGCAAAGTGGGGTACACACAAGGCCACAATAGAAGAGCAGCTGATTGTGCACCCCCAAGGTTATAACGTGCTCACCAGGGTATAACAGCCCTTACCCCAGGGCAGTGCTGGAGTGGCCTCCCTCCTGTCACGTCATTACACTGCTGCACAGCCTGGCCAGGCTATAGCCACATTTGGGAAGCAATTTCACTTTGGGAAAGAATTACCCCTTCACAGACCATACCCACCCCACTGGTCACAAGTTCCCCAATTTGTGCACAAGTGCAGAGCTGAGCTGCAGCCCTCACTCCACACTCTGCATCTCCAAGTCTCTTATGAAGCCAGTCCCCTTTGGCTTCCCCTCTGCAAACACCACATTTATCCCTCTCCATGCAAAACACAGTCCATAGTCACAGCCAGCAGCACTGGCAGCGCTCCACAGTGACACACACATCCCATCAAAGCATATAATGCTTGCAGGAAGCTATAATCAGGGCTTGGGTGCTGGCATGTGTTACACAGCCCCAGCACAGAGAAGGGCCCATATCCCATGAGCTGGCTCTGCTAGACAACAGTGAATGACAAACATGTCACAGCAGTGCCCACTCCTGACACTTGTGTGGTGTTGGTGTGTTTGTCCTAAGAACCAGGAAGCTCCAATCTATGGCACCTGTTAAATACTTCCCCTGTGCCATATCAGAACAGGATCCACCAAACAGCTTATGTCCTATCACAAGAACCCAGGAAGGGATAAACAGCTCAAAGGAGTCACCTTGGGCAGTTGCTCTTTGAGGCCATTTGGAGCCAAACCATCTCTGTGGGACGGGCAGAGCTGGCTCTAAGAGCATGGCAGGCAAAAGAAGAGCTGAAATCCATGTGCCTGTCCTGTATCAGTGGTTCCCAGCAGCACACTGGCGCACACTCCTGCCACAAAGGCAGCTGAGCCAGCACACCTGCTTCCTGCCCATACTCATGGCCGCTCTTCCCCAGAGCCCTGCAGATCAGCAGGCACTATGTGTGGGATGTGCCACAGGCTGGTGCTCAGGCACAGTGGAGGTGTGTCAGGTTGGGAAGGTCACTGCCACCAATTTTCATCCAGGAAAACATTTTCCCCAGCTATGACAGAAAGGCTTAGCAAACACTGCCCCATGCCAGCATCACTGGCGCCAGACAGCACAGGCAAAGGCTTCAGAGAGACTTTCTGTTCTGGGTCCTTGCAAAAGCAACTTACTCATTGACAAGTGCTGATAAGCAAATCAGGGGGAGATAAAATAGAAGGATTAGTCTTCTCTTCCAAAGATCAGGGTCTATTGTTGCAAGAGCCCATGCTACCATGCCAGGTAGCCCTGAGAGCAGCTGTCAATATGGCAGGGCTACAAAGTCAGGCATAATTCAACAGCCAGGTCTGGCTATAGTGTTGCCCAGATTTTGTATTTATGAGGAATTTTTTAACTCATCTGTTCAGAGTCCTGCTTCTGCGGAGAAAGACCCTGCGTGTAACCAGCACCATGAGCAGCACCTGGAGAGGACAGGAGCAGGTGCTGGTCCACAGGGAGCCCTCATCTTGGGGTTTCTCTGCTGATACTTTACCCCACTACAGAATTGTGGCTGCAGACAGAGACTGGATCATAAGCAAGTCACAACCAGAAAGTCTCTGGGAAGAGGGACCAGCAGCTTTGGCTGCTCCCTGCAAGGAACAAACCAAAGACAGACACTTGCTTTGGCCAGTTTGACTGCAAAAGGCCAGGTCTCTTGAAGGTTGCCCTAAGGAAGCAGGATGCCCCCTGCAAACCTCCACAAGACAACCCGCATATTTAAATTCCACATGAGCTGCCAGCACAGCCTGGTGTGTGGTGGTGCCAGCTATACCCTGCCTGATGTGCCAAGACCATTACAGCATGGGTCTCACAGGGCTCTTTTCAAGCAGTGCTGTGCCAGTGACTTGCACAGAAACCCCAAACTGCATCAGAAAGTGGGAGATTCCTCAAATGAATGAAGATTATTCCTGCAGAGGAGGTATAGAAAAAGCTTAAATTATCTTCCTAGCTCAGCTCAGAAGGAGCACCGCTGGCTATTTCTCTGCAGTGGCCCCAGTGTTTAAACTGCCAGCACACCCTCTGAAAACTAATATTTGGGACCAGATAGAGCTGTTCTTCATGGCTGCTGCAATTCTTTAGTTAATTTTTGGGTACACACATACCATTGCCAGCAGAAGCTGACTAGACTGGTGAATGTCACCTACAATACCCAAACCACCTTGTTTACATTTCTTTACTCATTAACAGAGGTAAGATCTAATAACATATACAACTTTATCTTCCTTTGTGTTACTTAAAGGGGTACAGTTCAAACAGTTCAGAGGGTGTCAGGAGCTCAGCAAGATTTGTGGTCCCTGACAAAGTGACTTCAGAGCTCTAGCAGGCATCTGAGCAAAACACAGATGTATTTACAAGACCTGACACTCCTTCAAACACCTACCTGACAGTCCCATTTGTAGAAAACCTCTACAGATAGTCCCAAATGATGGTAATCACATCTCTTACGTATGGCTGTTCAGAGTAAACACAGCATCTGTTCATTCTGGGCTTCAGGGGAGGAGAGGATGCTTTGTTCAGAGAAATAAATTTGTCATGTGTAGTAGTAGTGCCTTGAAGCCTAAACAAAATCAAAAGTCCATTGGATGAAGGCCCCTTAAGAGAAGCATTTACCCAGATTGACTTCTCTTCTGAAGAGAGTAGAAAGATGACAGGGAAAGGATTCTTGTGCCGATTTTGACGATAGGACTGCAGAGAAGCTAAACAGGAGGGAATCTGTGAGAGCAGTTATGAGCCTCTGTGTGTAGCGATGCAGCCCAGCTTCTTAAACTCTCCCATTCAGCAGCCTTGGTGCTCATGGGGGCACTTTGAACCAGCAAGGAGCTAAGCTGGTGGCTGACAAGTGGTCTTTCACACACCTGTTCTCCAAACCTGCTTCCACTTACTGCTTTGGAAAAACACATCGTTAGATGCTGGAAAGCAAGCTCCGGCTTTACTTGTGCATCGCTCCTGGCTGCCACCAGGGGCATTGCTGTGGTGTACCAACACGTGCTGAGCTTTCCACCCATGGACAGATCTTGGGCTCCACAAAGCAGTATCAGAGGTAATGTCAAGTGAAGAAATCCCACCTATCCCCTTGCCCTGAACACCCCAATCGCACTGATCCCCTTCTAGCCCCTGTCTCCTTTTCAGTCTTCCCATTTCCTCCATTGACCTTCTTCAAGACTCCTTTTAACCCTTCTAGCCCCTGAACTCCACACTTTTCACCCGCTGAAGTGTACCGAACTAGACACAGATCCTTCCTGTGGCGAGTTCAGTCACCACTGAATTAAAAAAAAGGACAGTTACTTTGTTCTGTCTCAGCAATCCACACCCAGATACCTCCAGGGATGGCTGAGACAGTCCCAATTTTGGTCCCTCGGCAGCCTGTGCTGACTCAGCTCTGGCCTGGATCCATCCAAGTCACCATACCCCTCTGAGCTCCACTGAACATAGGTTAACCCTATAAACAAATCATAGAATTATGGAATAGTTAGAGTTGGAAAGGACCTTAAGATCATCAAGTTCTGCACACCCCCCCTACCTCCCCCCCCCGAGCAGGGGTACCTCACACTAAAGCATGTCACCTAAGACTCCTTCCATTTGGCCTTGAACACTGCCAGGAATGAAACATTCATGACTTCTTTGGGCAACCTGTTCCAGTGCCTGACCACCCTCACAGTGAAGAACCTCTTATATACATCAAACCTAAACTTCCCTTGTTTAAGTTTTAACCCGTTACCTCTTGTCCTATCACTACAGTTCCTAATGAAGAGTCCCTCTCCAGCATCCTTGTAGGCAACCTTCAGATACTGGAAGGCTGCTATGAGGTCTTCATGCAGCCTTCTCTTCTCCAGGCTGAACAGCCCCAACTTTCTCAGCCTGTCTTCATACGGGAGGTGCTCCAGCTCCCTGATCATCCTTGTGGCCTCCTCTGGACTGGCTCTAACAGCTCCATGCCTTTGTTATGTTGTAGCCCCAGAACTGTACACAGTGCTCCAAATGAGGTCTCATGAGAGCAGAGCAGAGGGGCAGGATCACCTCCTTCACCTGCTGGTAATGCTGCTTTTGATGCAGCCCAGAATACGGTTGGCTTTCTGGGCTGCAAGCGCACACTGCTGGCTCATGTTAAGTTTCTCATCAACCAACAGCCCCAAGTCCTTCTCTGCAGGGTTGCTCTGAATCTCTTCTCCACTCAACCTGTAGCTGTGCGCGAATTCCCCCCAATCCAGGTGTAGAACCTTGCATTCGGCTTGGTTGAACTTCACACAGAGGAATCTCTGCTTCAGCACCTGGAATACCTTCTCCTTCCTGCATTGACCTTAGTGTCTGCAGGGCTGTTTATCCCACATATTGTCACTCCTCCCTCCAGCTGCAATTGCTGCTGCACATTAACTTCCCCCTCCTCCTTAAAGATGTTGTCCCAGAGACACTACCACTGTCACTGGCTTGACCTTGGCCAGCACTGGGTCCATCCTGGAGCCAGTTGGCATTTGCATTATCAGACCTAGGGGAAGCTTCTGGCAGCTTCTCACAGAAGACGTTCCTGTAGCTCACCTACTACCAAAACCTTGCCAAGCAAACCCTGTACAATAAGGAATCCCAAACCTTTCCCCGCCTCTGTTCTCCAAAACCCTGTTCTCTTTGAAAGCTTTGCCTCATTCTGCCCATCTTGCCAGTTGTCCTAAGTTTCCTTATGTTTCCTTAAGTCACCATCCCTTCCTGGATGGCAAAGGGGCATAGGAAGGTATGTCTGAAGAGGAAGATGGGGACCTGGCACAGTCTGATGTAAAAAGCGTCACCACTGCCCACTATGCACTATGATAAGGCCAACCAAGAGACCAGCAATTATTAGCACTTGGGTACTAGTTGCATGATGAAAAAAAAGTCTTCACCATCCCTCGCAGTGTTCAAGGCCAGGCTGGATGGGGCTTTCAGCAACCTGCTCTAGCGGAAGGTGTCCCTGCCCAAGGCAGAGGGTTGGAACAAAATGATCTTTAAGGTCACTTCCAACCCAAAGCATTCTGTGATTCTATGAAAACCTGTCTAAATGAACTGCACAGAGCAGACACGAGACATACATGCTGCCCATGCACATATGGCCTCATTCTCTGTGATTCTATTAGAACCATTATTTTTAGATGCAAGCTAGGACTTAACGCCTGCTAGGATTTGGTGGCCTGTCACACGGTTTTGTCTCAACAGCAGTCATCACCCACTACACAAGAGAAACAGGAACAAGGAATTTCCCTCTACTAGGTAGGCAAGGAAATACTTCTCATGTCCTAGGTAAAGTTTCTGTGTACAGTTATGGGGTTGTGAACATTTATTGTTTAGCCTTGCAAACAATTCAGAGTCCAGAGAGAGGTCACAGTAAAGACTGCCAGTTATTTGTCTTTAGAATGTAGTCCGGTCTGCAAGCTCCTTGCCAAGCACAGTCAATCTCCATTTCATTGTCCAGCTTAGAGTCACTATTCCATCCCTGTGCTGTGAACTCTGATACTCTACTGAAAAAGAGTGAAGTCCTTCAGAACAGGTGGAGGGGACAAAACCAGAAATGTACAACAATTAAACAGATTCTCCATTTTATTTCCAATAAAAACTTTAGATCCTAGATGGATACAGCATCTGCAAAACACAAGAACAGATACAATCTTGTTAGAAATCTTGTTACTGGACTGTACCATTGTAAGTACAAGTTTTGCAGTTGCAATCTGGATTCTCAATCTCTTCAACTACTATTAAAGTGATACCCTTTCCCCCATTTACACATAAGAGGTGCAAGAATTGAAAAGTGCAACAACTAGTTCAGCGGCTCAAAGTAGCACTTTGCTGAGGGTACAGAGTGCCCTGGCAGTCAGGCCTTTTGCTCACAGTCAGCAAGTCCTCATGAGTCTAGTTTCAGGATTTAACTGTGCCACTCCTACTCCTAAGGCACAGGAAAGAGTCAGAATGGAAGGATGGAAGAATTGCACCCCAATACTCCTTTGACAGCATCACTAGAAGAATACTGCATCAAAACTCAGTGAGGGGCCTAAAGGGACAGTCTCACTGAAGCCTTGTGGCTAAAACACCAACTGTGGAGCAGGTACTAGTGGTCATGCCAGGACAGCACCCCCTAAGTTCAAATACTGGGGAGGTAGGAGAAAACAAATCTATCAATGGGTAGAAATCGGAGTAGAAGGGGGGAAAAATAGATGATCCAGGGAAAAAAAAAAAGTCAAGATAGCTTTAGAAGGGAGCAGAGTAAGAATCCTGGAAACTGAAAAGCCTTTCGAGACAAGCTGAGCCAGCACACAAAACCCTTGATAATGAGACAAACCCCTCCTAGCTCCAAAAGGAGCATTTACTGAAGAGCCATGCTGAATGCACAACAGCAACAGAACAAAATCATAGTTCAAGTTTTCCCTCATATTAAGTGAGATTAAAAGGCTCCCTGAAATCTGCCACTAAATATCTTGTTGCTGAAATAAATCCACTCACCACTCGGATTCTGTGTCCAATGGCCTTGGCAGGAAGGTTGGAGCGGAACTTGGCACGAACCATGCCACTGTTCCCATGGGCGCGGGTTACCTTCCCCCAGATCACTCGTGTCCTGTTGGGCTTCCCACCAGGGGTTACGGTGTTGCTAAGGAAAGAGAGGAAAAGCTCTGCTGAGCAGGCCAGCCACAGCGCCCTATTGGCCTCTGCAGTGACAGGGCAGACAATGTGCCCTTGTTAATGCACTTCGGTAACTTTATTCCACAACCATTTTTAAGCAGATCACATGTCACTTTTATTTGCCTGTGAAATTTGCCAAGCCTGGGAATTTCACTGTACTTTCCAAACAGCTACATACTGCAGCTTGTAATTTATCAGAAGCTCCACTGGAGAACTATTAAGTTACAAATCTCAAGAATCTGTAAAATGCTGATGCCAATAATATGATCAAACCAAAAAGTCAAGAGTTTTCCAAAGAAAATGCAACATCTTATTTGTACTATTTATCCAGACACACCAAAGGCAGGAGAGGCCTAAGCCATTGGAATAGACTGCAAAAAACTGGTTTAAAGAAGCCATAGGCCATCTTGGAAATGATGGTGGTCAGGTTAACGCTTCAATAAATTTTATTCAAGGCAATTCTGAACTCCCATATCTGAACTCCAACAAATACACTCCCAAGAAAAAAATAAGTGGAAAATATTAAGTAACTGTTCTTAAAGGCTTCCACCAATGCTAGCACAGCAGTGACAGTACTTTGATATGGGCACACAAATGCCATGATACAAATTCCTCCAGGTTTCACAAAATGATTCTGCCATTTAATTAACTCAAGATCTCATAGCACCCACCTCAAACTCACCTCACTTCAACCCACCTTCAGTATTTGCCAGTCTGAAGCAAAATTTGTTTTTCATAATTCCATTACCTTCAGATAAAGCCAGTTAAAGCAAAACCAACCCCAGACATTAAAAACAAAACCAACTCAAGAAGAAACTGCTCTACACAGTACTCCATGAACACTCTACTGATAAACTGAACCCAATTTATTTTTGTTCTGACAAAAACTCTATAAGCAGACTGCTTACATGCTGGCATTTCCAACAGCTGATACAGGAGCTACCTAATTTAGCATAACAATAAAAAGCAGCTTACTTTTTAGCTTTGTATACATAGGCACACCTCTTGCCCAAGTAGAAGTCTGTCTCCTGACGGGCATAAACACCTTCAATTTTCAGCAGGGCAGTGTGCTCCCGCTGGTTTCGGAGGCCACGTTTGTAGCCAGCAAAGATGGCCTTGCACCACAGCCTAGAGACATTGAAAGTGTTTGCAAATTAGGATTCACACCAAAGTATCAAATACAAAAATAAATATCATGCTGTTTCAGCAGAAGCTATTTCTACACCAATAAAAATTTAAGCCAAGGAAAAGCCCCACTACTTTTATATATTACTGCAGATCTCCACATTCAGTCAAGAGAGAAAAGGCAAGTAACTGAGACACGAAGTATTTCTGAAAAGTCTGTATCTTTCTGCTTGTTACAAATTTCTGACATTGCAGGGTGCATATTAAACCCATAGTGCTTCAACATCAGTAGGTGTTGTTTTCAAATGTCTACAAACACTCTGTGCTGAGTAAACGTTTCTGTACACCACAAACTGTGCTTCCTGTGTTGCTGCAGAAAACAGTAACTGCTGCTAATTTGTAGTCTCAAAGGACTTAACTGCAGCTTATCAGGAGAGCCCCACATGCTCCAGACCAGTGACTACACAAACTCCTCAGCAATTCTTTATGACAAAGATGTGTCTGTACTGTGCAGGTAAAGCAACTAGAAGGCTCATTCCACACATCATGTACAGTGTGACTGTCTCAACTGCATCCAGCAACTGTCCCATAAAACAGTAGTAGTAAACAAAGCTACCTATTTCGACCTTCTACACATGCATGAGAGAAAATGAACTCTATTATTAAGGCAAAAACTTATGACTCAGACTCAATCCCTACATTCATGAGAAAACTCGATAGCAAGTAGCGCATTTATGCAAGGAAGCAATATGCCAAAGCCTCCACTATACACTGGAGGGTTACGAATGCTGTGCTAACAAAGCCACCATTAATACTACACATCTATTGACAGGCGAGGAAAGCATGGCAGAAGATACGAGCAGCTACAACTATCCACGAACTACTACAGCTAGCTTAAGGCAGAGACTTCAAAACAGGGAAGCACAATCGTGGGTGTGTAAGAGGGCTCAGCAGGATAGTGGCAGAAGAGCTGCCGCAGGAAAACGAATTCTTGCCCACAGCTTTAACACTCTCAGAAATGCTCCCTCTACAAGACTTGTCAGAAGTACAGTATACAGCGAGCCAAAAACCATCTCGAGATAGGTAACTCACCTCCCGGTCATGGTGTCCTCCTGAAGCCCTGGTCCCAGCAGGCCTAGAAACGACACACAAGCCATGAGCCTTCCAGGCCGGTAGCTCTCTCCAGCCGAGCGAGCAGGAGCTGCCGCAGGCCCGGTCCGGGGTCAGAACATCCCGGCAGCCGGGAGCCACCCAGAACAAAGCGACAAGGGCTGCCAGAGCACCCAGTTCAGGCTCCGCTTCGAGAAAGAGTTAAGGAGACCCCGCCGCTTCGCCACAGAAGAGGACGTTCCAGGCGCCCCAGCCCGTTTCAGCTACGAGCCCCAAACCTACGGCTGGGACCATCCGCCGCACATCGCCGCCATCCCGCCCTCTACCCGCTCCGAACGGCGCCAGCCTCAACACCCAAGGAATCCCCCACCCGCCGGCGGTGCCATGGCGGGGACACCTCCCTCCCACCCTTCACCCCACGCCATTGCTCATCAACTCACCCCCACGGCGACGAACCAATATGGCGGCAAAAGAGAAAGCTACCGCGCTGCCTTCCGGGATGTGGGCTGGGAAGGACCCTCCTCGAGCGGCCGCGAGCACTGCCTGAGAGGCCGAAACAGAGGCGACCCAGCGGGGTAAGTACCTCAGGCCCCAGCACCATGCGGACTCGCCGCATCCCCGGGTCCCCTTTCTCCTCCGGCTGACGATCGGGGGAGGGGCAGCCCCCGCCCCGCCGCGCAGGCATCCACCTGGGCAGCCCGTCGAGGCCCCCGGAGCGTGGTGGTTGTCATGGAGACGGGAGCCGCCGATACTGTTTGCCAGTGAGCGCCACAGCAGGTCGGGGTTGGGCACAGCACCGGCAGTGGGCGGTTGACTGGGGTAGGAGCGGAGGGGGTAGTATATCGCAGCGAGGAGAGTGAGGGGAGGCTTGGCAGGACGAACGATATACGGTAGTATATCGCAGCGGGAGGGTGAGGGGAGGCTTGGCAGGACGAACGGGACCGCAGCCCGGCTGTGAGACCCGCCTGCGGCGGTAGAACTAGCCGAGGAGCCCTGCGAGAGAGCAGCTAGGAGGTGAAGGAGTGCTTGGTGCTTCTGAGATGAGCAGGGCTCTGGGGCCCTCTTCTGATGGCTGCTTTCCGGGCCCTGCCCATCTGCCTCCCTTCTCACCTTAAACTGAATCATCTCAACATTTGCTTCGCTCCCGATATCACCTTGGTGACGGAAAACGTATTTCTACACTCGGATCACTGCAGAAATACATGTTTTCTATTACCCATTTTCCCATGTTAGGGCCATTCACTCCTGATCACTGTCACTTCTCTCACATAGCCAGAAACGAGGGAAATGCACCTGACTGGTTAGACTTTCACTGTAACTTTGTTCCTAAGTGTCTTAAGCTGCATCTGAACATGTGTCCAGGCTGCTTTTCGGCCGGGGGGGAAGGAAGAAGGATCTCAGGAATCTCAGGAGCAAAGTCTACTTACTGTTGTCTTGTCACCAGGTGGGCTGAGAGCTTGAACCTGGACTAAGGAATTAAATCCTGATCCAGGAGGAGAATCAAGTCTATTTGTACATTGTTGGGCCAGGGCAGAAGCACACAATGCCTTTCAAGCAAGTATAAGCAGAGTTTTTTCTTAGAGAGATTGTTAGGAAGTAGGAGCAGAGAAGGGATGGAATATTATGCATTCTTCAGATTACTCAGTTGGCTTCTACTTTAAGGAAGAGGTAGAAAGGAAAGCAGTGCTCAATATTCTATCTAGCTACCAGTACCAAATGTGTGCTAGGCACCTCTGCTTAGAGAAAGAACGCAGTCCCTGCTTTGAGGAGAATTAGCTACCTGTCAAAACACTGCTTTCCAGCAGTACACATCCACAGTCAATAAATGCTCCCTAAATCTTATCTTTTCCTGTCCCATACCAATCTAGTCCCATATGGGACATACAGCTAAAAGTAGCACCACATCTTTCATTCCTGCACTCAGTTCTCCAGGGTTCTCATCAGTGCAGCCTCAGAGAGCAGGAGTAGAAATTCTTTACAGTCAGGATGAAAATTAAATTGCACTTCTAAGCCAAATCCAAGATATGTTCTAACATTTATAGTGGTAGGCAGGGTTTTGAAAGACCAGAACTATTTTACTTGCCTAAGAGACATATTTTTTATTTTTTTTGTAAAAACTAAAGGTATTTCTGATTTATGGCCCAGCTACTGCCACTATGGATATTCAAATATGTCTTTTCCAATCATTTGAAAAACAGAGCTGAAGGAGATGTAACATTCTCAGCTTCAAATTATCCCACTGGAATCCTTAATTGACTAAAAGAAATCCTGCCTTTGAAGCCATTTTAGTCTGTCAAGCAGCAGGATGGGAGAAACGTGCATCCAGGACTCTCACACAGCAGAGGGAGTTGCAATCCCCAAAGGAACAGGAGGCCAAACTTTTTATACAGTTGTTTTAAAAATTATTTCTCGACATGTTTTTCTTTCCCTTTAGATCAGCAGGGAAAGAATTTCAACCTAAACTCTTGGGGAAAACTGAATCCTTCACATACCTCCTTTTTTCTTTTATTATTATTAATAGAGTTTAATGAACAAGTTCGGCAAAGCAAAATGATTAAAGCCAGTGCCAATGGCTACATCAGGATGGTCTGTGAGACTGTATTAATGGTAAAATCCTGGGAAAGCAGCTCACTATTTGTACTGTTTGTTAATGCTCCAGACAGTGGTTTCCTTCTCATTTCCAAGTCAGTGTAAGTCCAGAGTGTACTGGCTTGGCACATGCATCTTCTGAGGGAGTGTATGATTGTAAGAGGAGATACACAGGAGGAGCAAACCATCAGGCTTTAGAGAGACATTCCAGCTGTGAGTTCTTTTAACATATATTAATATCTTGAGTAAATTCTGTCCTGGACATAAGCTGCTGATGGAATAGAGGAGAAGCTATTGTATCCTCCTTTGTTTCCAATCAAGTCGCTTTTTCCTATAAAAGCTGTGAGCATTACTTCTTTCAAGAATGCTGTTGTAATCATCTGTCACAGCTATCTCACAACAAATTTTGGGGTTTTTTTTTATCATATTTTTAGCATTAGGACTCCACATGTAATAGATTATTTTTATGTTGTTTAGGCTCAAAACATGGATTGTAGATTTATTAAAAAGATAAAAACAAGTTAAACATTTGAAAATATTAGTGCCTGCTGACTGGAAAAACATTGTTTGACTTTCTCTATGTAAAAATACTTAATTTGCACATCTCCACTTCTGTCATTGAATCCAAAGTTGAAAAAAAAGGAAAAATGATGTTTTGGGTTTGGAGGAATTGTCTAATGGCTTACCAAAACATTAAAAATCTCAACATTTGACCATTGTTTATGCAGGTGTTTTATTATACATTTTTCTAAATGGGTCAATTTTGCCTGGACTAGTAGTGAATTTCCACCATTCCTAGAAGCACTTTCACAATATTCCATGTGTAAGCAAGACGAAGGGATACTAAAACATACATCACAGCAGTTTCACATTTGAAATGCAACTTAAAACAACACAGAATGTTAAAGATAGTTTACTTAGTCCAGATATTGGTTCTTGTTTGACTTTCAAGACCTTAAGTTGATGACAGTTCCTGCTGAGGAGATTTGCATCAAAAGTGTTAAAAGCTACACAGTAATACTGAGGAAGATTGGAGCATGCAAGTTAATCATCTGAGGTCTTATAAGATGTGGATTTATTTTTCTGCCTTTTAAAAAGGCACCTTCATTCCATTGTTTTGCAAAGAATAAAGTTCATCATGAAACACTGCTCCCCCCTGAACTGAATGGTGAGGCCACCTCACCCAGTTTGTGCCTCCCATATCCATTCCCTACTCAGCCTATCTATCCAGCTCTACTGTAGGAGGGACTAGACCCTACTTTGTTTTGTGAAAGTTAAACATTCCCACTATCCCTGAATACAGCCATTAGCAGAGCATGGCTCCTTTTATAAACAATATATGAAAGAGTATAAACAAAGCTAAGGAAGTATATGAAAGGCTGCAAATAAAGCTATTTCAGGTCTACCTTTAAACTACTGTTGCTAACACCCTAGCCTCTTTCTCATTAGTATCTTTTGTCTTTGTTCCTCTTAGCAAGAACACAGAGACTAAAGAAATGGAAAAACTCAGTCATCTGGAAGCTCTGCTGTTTACTGCTGTGCTGGAGACTTGTGTTGATCAGCTCTCAATTCTTGGATATATTATGCCGGTTTCATATGAGGGCCAGACAGACCTCGGCCATGTATGTGCCTCTATCCTGCCTGCTTAAAAAAATACCTCTTTTTTTTTTTTTTTTTTTTACCTTTTTTTCTTGTCTTAGTGTTATGTCTTCTACAAGCCTTTAAAAAAATCAACTCAGATATTTTCTCTGATAAGGGTTCCATGACCCTTGGGTGAAGCAACACATTCAAAATGCATGGATGAACAATTTAATATTTATACTGCAGCATCACTGAGAAGCCTTTGTCCAGACTTGTTGCAAAGGATCTCACTGACCTAAGATGAGGTTCCTGGGCTTATAATTTTAAAATCTCAGTGGTCAGATGACAAGCAAAAGATTAAGGAAAAGGAGGCAAAACATAAATATGTTCTTATGTAGATACACAACTATCTTAAAAATACAAACTAATAGCACATTTGAAAGTACTCAAACCCAGGGTAATTCTGTTGCTCTCTAAATCCACACCAACATTCCTCTACTCCCCACAGAAAGTGAATTAAAAAAAGATTCTACTTCAAAATATGTTGGTAACTATCCATTCTCAATGACCATTTTTAACTAGTTAATTTCTAATAGGCATCATAACTAAGAGGGTTTGGGCAGAGAGATAAGGATCAGAAAAGAAGTCTTAATGCTCAGACACAAGTTTGTTGCTTGTGGAGGAAGGGGTTGTGATATTTCTGGTAGCTGATAGACATAGGAAACAGGATGGAATCATCCGGAGGGGGAAATGGTTCCAAGTTCTGTTATCATATATTTGAAGTGACATTGCTGGCTGTTTACGATTTAAGCAGTTTGAAACCCTTTTTTTTAAGAAGAAATCAGAAAAGAGTGGGTGACCAGGATAGAAATAAAAACTGGGATCTGAGTTTTCAGATCTAATGCTATTCACTCTGTCTAATTTACCACTTAAGAATGCAAGAGGAAGGTAAATCAATACGTTGTTTTCTACGTGTTTCCTTTCCGTACTACCTTCTCTTTAAAAAAAATCCATAGTGGGGCCGCCGAAGCTGGTGTTACACCGTATTTCAGGGAGTGAACGATGCTTATACCGTGCAATAGAGGGCACTCCTCCCCTTAAAAGAGTCCTGTGAGCCATTCCACACCTGTGTCCATCCTCTGGATGCTTCTCCAGAGTTGGGTGTGTAACCTCTTCTGTGCCAACAGCAAAACCACAGAGACAGTGTTGTTGTAGAACAATAGTTGTTGTTCTTCCTCAGACACACAGACGCAGGTTGACAGAATTACTAAAGGTACACAATTATAGAGAAAACACCTTAGCTTTTTTTCTTCAGTCACAAATGCTCATTTTTATCAAGTCACTTCTTAAAAAATAATTTTCTCACAGACTATAAACCCTACTTGTGTTCTGAAAGACGCCAAAACAAATTGAAAAGGAAACAAGAAAATTACTTAAGGAAGCTACTCACTAACTTTGGTGCTCTGTAATTTGCTACTCCTCCCTGTTTCTCAGTTTATATCTGGCTGTTATCATTGTATTTGTATAAGACCCATACATGCAAAGCACCCTGAAGATCTGTCAGTCAACCAAATCAATGACATTTTCAAAGACTGCCATCTAAATTTCAGTTGATGACATTTTTGAGAATTAATCACCATGTTGGCCAGCACCTCATTGAATTTCCAAACTGGGGACTCTAGTGCATTGCATCATGCAGTGTACCCCCTCAGAGGAAGGCAGCCTTTCTATCTGCTGAATTTTGGGCAAAAGACTAGCAAAACATAAACAGCTAGGAGACTACGCAGTTGATAACACATGCAGTTTACAAACTCCTTGTCTTACATAATTACATATTATTAGCATGTTTACAGACAATCCAGTTAAAGCCTTTCTTGAACTTTCCCAGACATAAAAGTTGTCTATGAGAACATTCATAAAATCTACATTATATTAAGCAGTTTGTTTGCCAAAATTAGTTCTTTCTGAAGCAGAGTCATCACCAGCAAATTATTTAAAGCTTTTTTTTTTCTAATTAACTACGTAATTTTCATTGGTCTGTGCATATTTTACATGCAATTCGTTTAATGTAAATTTAACTGTCTAAATTAAGCATATAGACACCTAGTCTCCTTCTGTAGTCAGTGGTGAGTCAGGCACTACCAGAGACTTATTCGTCCAGTCTGGAGATGTCCACAATACTCAAAATGAAGCAGCCCCTTGCAGAAGCACCTGAAGCAGCACAGGGGTGCACTGCCCTCAGACTATACAAGAGTTGCAGACCACTAATGGAGCTTCAGTACCAGTAACTTTTTGGAAGTAGACTTGACATACACAGTTGCTGCCTTGACCCCTTGCTTTTAGTCTGCCCTCTGTATTGCATTGGCACAAATGCGTGTGTGGCTGTGGAGGGATCTGGACTGAGAACTGGTGCTGCTAAAAATAAACTTGCTTTTTTTTTTTTCTTTTTTTTTTTTTCCCCTCTGGAAAATGTTTCAGCTCAGTGAGTTCTCTCATCAGTTTTCTCAAGCAGCCAGGGCAGGAGTAGGCAGCTCTGGACTGGGCTGGGGGTGGCAGTGACTGTGTTAGCTGGCTTCAGTGATACTGCTAGTAAGTGTTCAGCCACAGAGGTGCTGGTAGGCAGGCAACAAAAATGTTAATGTCCCAGTGTATACATTTGCATTCTTACCCATAGCACTTAAAGCAGAGAAATCCCTAGAACCAAGGTCTCACCTGGCTTTGTAGTCTGTTTTTGCTTTCCTGGTGCTTTTCCCTTTTAAATAAAATTGTACACAGCCACAAGATACCTTTACATGTAGGAGAGAGCTGCCAGTATTTTGAATTTCTCTGAATTCATGTTACACTTCTTCTGCTTTTGCTGTCTCAAAAAAACAGCTAAGCAGATAACTGATGTCTATCACTTATTTCCACACATCTCAGCTCTTGTTATAACCGTAATACTGTAAGGAAAGGCTGTGGTGACAGACAGAGGGAAATAGCTAAGGAAAGAAGGCAGAGAGGAAGCAGGCTAACAGTCTTCCAGTATATAAAAGCTGCTGCAAAAGATGGAATGATTTGTCCTCTGTGCCTATGGAAATGAGGACAAGAAGCCGGTGGCTTGACTTCAGCTGAGGAGACGAAACTTATGGTAAAGATTGTTGTGACATGCTAGCACTGGCAGCATTGTCTCCATTGCTGGAGATCATTAAGAACATGCCAGGAATAACAAGTCTGAACCATCATCTCTTGGAGCAAACGTTTTCACCTTCTGAGGCTTCTTCTAGTCCTGCACTTTAGGACTTTGGGTCCCATAAACTTTAACAAGCCTACATTGTGTGCTAACTAAGACAAATGCTGCTGCTCTTCTTCTCTTAGCAGAATGTAACATGGACTATCAACTGCTTTTAGTATAGCTCCGCTTTATTATTAATTTTTCTTCCTCTCATATAATGTTGCAGAAGGTTTACTTCCACTTCCCAATGTGCGAGCAGGTCTCTCTTATTCCCTTTCAGTCTGGCATTCAAGAAATGAAAGAAATCTTAGAGGCTCTGAAGGAGCTGGAGAGTAACTACCAAGAGTCAGCAAAGCAAGGAAGTAGGGAAAAAGTTACTTCCATGTCTCTGAAAGGCATTGCACACAAGCAGCAGCGGGGGAAAACTGAAGAGCTAAAAAGTACCCGTCATCTTTCCAATAGGGCTGTGAAAAACAGTGCTCTGACCATAGACAGTCTCCGAAAAATTCAAGCTGACAGGTGAGTAAAGCACAAATATGATGACTGTGGGGGATGCCCTGAGCTGTAAAGTTCTCAATTTATCTCTTGTAAGCAAAAATACAAGCTCCCCACTCTCCCACTGCTGGTATACCTCAGTCTTGTTCCGGAAGGCATATCTCTAAAGAGAGCAGTGGGGTCTAGCTTCATAGGCAATTTAGTTCTGGCCTTTGCTTGTCTCTAGATGCCAAGTAATGACAATCACTTTATTTTGAATGGAGTTGCAAAATATTACCCAGTTGATAATTGTTGCTGAGGTTGAATTCATGCCAGGTACTAGCCAGTGCTGATGTTCTGCTCTCTGTAGTCAGGTTCCCCTAGCAGAGGCATACAAGCCAAGAGGGATCTGAGTGTTGTTCCATGAACTCAGCTATTCTGCAGGGCACACAGAGCCTCCATGGCAGCTACAGACATTTTCCTTTATAGAACAGATAAGGTATATAAAAAACAAAGAGTGCTTTTCTTTTTTAAAACATTTTTTATTTCTGCACCTAATCCAGTGCCCTGATTTACAAAAATACCAACAGCCTTTGGTTTAAAAGACAGAACGTGGAGCTGAGCATTCAGGATGCATTTTACTGCATTCTGGCTTTAATGTTATATCAACGGAGGGCTTAAAGAAGACCCTAACACAAATGAGAAAAATGCAGCTAAGATACAAATATCATACGCACCATGAAATTCAATAAACTGGGCAAGCCCATGTATTTGCTAAGATCAGCTTAGGGCTGTACTGGGATATTTTGGCACCTGAAATATCTATCTTTTCACAGACACATTTGTCTGCCTCCCGAGGTCTCATTTTCCAAGATCCACCTGTCATCACTACCACAGGCCAGCAGACTTCTTCCTAATGGCATCACAGTCTGGCACAGACTGGATATGTTTGTGCCTCTTTTCTATTTCCCAGAGTAGCATTCAGAGCAGCATTTTTAAACTGTAAACTTCCATGAACTCCTAATACAGAGTTCTCCAGACGCACAAGAAGCAGATACCATGGGAGAAACACCTCTGGCTTTGATAGGACACAAGAACACAAATGGGATCTTGTATTTCCTTACCTTTTTATCTGAAAATAATATTGGATAAAGGTGCCTCACACTATAGTACCAGCACCTATGGATCGCTGTTGTATTCCTTTTCTTCCTGGCAGGCAGTATGCAAGTGATGTAATTACAGCCACTATGAAAAGGATGCAGGAATCAGGAACATTCAGTAGCCTAACAGAAGCTAATGAGAGAGAGGAGGCAAAAAAGAGCAAGTTTCACAATGTCCTCATCAGGTCAGTGTTGTGTTCAGTACTTCCCTGCTTAACTGCTGAAAGCCAGAGCCCATTCTTGCTCAGTATATGCTAAAATGTTTTAAAAGAAAACCCCAATCTACTGCAAAAATACAGACAGGATTCCAGTTTTTCAGCTTGAATCATTCTGTCTGCTTCACAAACTGCACTTCTTTCCCCATCAGAAAGAAATAACTGATGGTTATGATACTGATCTGAGCTAGAAACTGCCTGAGCTTTGACTGCAGTGGACACCAGTGTCTGCATTAATGTGAACAGTGCCCCATTAAAATCATATTAATAATCAAATTAAAACATAACATGATGTAGGAGCTCCCTAATCTTTAACTCCTATCCCCAGTGAAAGCCAAAGCAGCAGAGAATCTGTTCAAACCAGGGCCAGCAGTATATGGTCTTTAGGTTATATGATGCCAGGGAGTATCTTGGCCCACACTAATGCTAATATGCTCCATTTTCCCAGGAGCAGCGAGGGGCTAGCAGAGATTGTGACAGAGGCAGTTGTCTTATTTACAGCTAATCCACCAGCCACTGCACTGTAGATCCTCTTCTGTCACAAATCTTACAGGGCACAGATTTGTTATAATCTCAACTCAAACTGGTGATTCCTTAGCACAAGCTTTTGGGCACTAGAGGTTTGGAGGTCTTTTAGCATGGGGAGCTCTGCTTCAATCCTAAGCCTGCCAGAGAGAATAGCAATCATAAGAAAAGTATTTGACTGTTTTAAAGTTACTCTGTTCTGTGTAGCAGCTCAGGCCCATCATTTAGGGTAGACAGCAAAGCTGCTGTAAGTCATGATTTGTCGTGAGTCCAACCCACTGGATCAGCTAGCTCCAGTGGTGGCTCAGTGGTCTGCCTCTGGGGCAAGCTGTCAGCTTCGGTGAAATGGGTGATTTCAGTCACAAACTCCAACTCTTCCACTGTCTAAACCCAAGAGATTTATTGTTTATCCATAAAAGGGACAGAAAGCAAAAGTAAAAGCAGCAATTGCTTGTGGAATAGCTATCCAATACTGGAAAGTGGAAAGGAACAAACAAATTATAATCAGAAAGAACATAATCCTTTTTATTCCACTCCATCAACCATATCTAGCCACTGTGATGTCTGTTCTACTATATATTCTTTTCATGGAATAAAATTGATCTGTCCTTCAATTGATCTGTCCTTCAATATAATGCATACTTGCCTGGAATTGTGTCAGTACACTAGTTTGAAAGCAGCCTGCAGTAAGACTAGAACTCTGTATCAGAAACTTGTGTTCTGATCAGTCACTCAGCTAAGGACTGAAAATTAAATACATGTTTGATTGTAAGGTTGGGATAGAGTATGAAGTCTAAGGTACTAACTATAGTTTTTACTGGCTTTATATCAAACCATAAGCATAAAAATTTAGAAACTCACTCTAAGTGAAATAAGATAGTAACACCTAGAACCTTATTGCATCTGTTTTGCTTTAGGCAGCTTACCACTTCTCTAGCATTTGCCTTCACTCATATCCGTTCATAGATCTCAGAACCTGAAGCAGTGTTTTTTGAAAGATTTTAAGTCTGATCCAAAAAAAACATTCTTGATACATATACTGAAACTTAAGCCATTTGGCACTGTCTGCTGGTGAGGCATGCTTCTGCACAGAATTAGGGGGGTTGCCTGAAATGCAGAAACTGTGACTCAGTGGTAGGCATCCTCCCTGTCTGCTATAGGATCTGCATCATCCTCAAGTGCCCTCCATGCTTTCAAGACCATCCCCTGTTTTTTGGCTCATTTCCCCATTCATTCCCATCCTCCTTGCTCAGTCTGTGCACTTTTTTTCAGAATTTACTTACCAAGACACTAGCTTTAGCGAGAAGTCTCTGTTGCTGATGTGCTGCCTCCTCAAGACTCAGATGAAGAGATGAATGCCTTTTTTTGCTACTCAGCCGCAGGAAGCAGCCTGTCTTCTACTGCTCAGAAGAAGCTGGCCAAGCATTTGTGTGCATTTCTTTTAGTTCAGCTGTGTGAGCAGGAAAAGCAGGGCAGTGTTCAGCAAGGTGCCACAATGTACCAAGAGACAGGAAGTTCCCCTTCAACGTAAACAGCTTGTTTTTGTTGGTTTTTTTAAATATATTCAGGTGATTGTATTTTCACATTTTCCTTCAGGGAACAGGAAGGAAAGAAGCAGATAAAGTCACTTGAGAAACAGCTGCAAGATGTCAAGAAACAAACTGAAACAGAACTTAAGGTGAGATCACTTAGCATTGGGCATCATGCCAGGGGGGAAGCCTGTTAAGCACAGGAACTTGCCCTTAGCTGGAAGGACATGTGGCATATATAATGATCCATAATTTAGGAATATAGAAGCAGTATAATTGCAATAAGGATTTGTATTCTGAACGAGCCCATTAATGACTTGAAGAGCAGTGTCCTATGGTTTTCAAATGGGAGTTTGAAATTCTTATAAGGTTGAGAGATTATGATCAAATTTGAATACCCCAAAACACTGCTGAGAGTGGCAAAGCACAGACATCTGCAATCAGTAAGAAAGAGGTTATCTGCAGATTGCAGTATTTAAGGTTCTGTCATACTTATTCGTGCAGATGTGACACCTGGCACAGAAAAAAGTGTCACAATGAGGGAGTGAGAGATACCTGGCATAGGGGCATGTAATTTTTTTTTACCTACATTTTTGTCTGGGGAAAATTTCATTATTTTATCTATTTTTCTATGCTTCCAGATATTAGAGAATCCCAAACCTGAGAGTCATAAGCAAAGGCAGATCAACGCTATTGCACATACACTGTCAGCTTGTTCTTTCATGCTCAGTATTTCCACCGTTCTGTCTGCAGCATAAAAATGGTGTGTGCACTCACAGTAAATCTGGGGCATTCTGGAAATGTCAGGCTGGCTACATAAGTGCAGGTCATTTGAATGCCATATCGCTGGTCACTTTGATGCTCACCAGACAGCTCAGAGTTGATGGTTGGGCATGCTTGAGCACAAAAGCAAACACAGTTCTTTAGAGAAACATGGAAATGTAGCATAGCACTGATGAGGCAGGAAGAGTGTTATAGAAAACAATCAAAAGGAATGCAGATTCAGAGCTATACAAGGAGTGGAAGAAGGAACAAGAATCTGATGCTTCGTTCAATACTGAGCAAGAGGACAGCAAGGGCATCAGAGGAAATAGTATCACTGAATTTTGTCTTTGGACAAAAGTGTGGACAGTATTCAAGCCAGGATATAGTTGGCTACAGAGAGGAATTTTAAGCCACTGACATGCTGGTGAAGTACAGTTTATAGAACGTGAGGGTTTTGTGCTGGCAGTCTGGATGTGCAGTGGAAATTTTAATTGTAAATAGAGGATGGTTGTAGCAACATGAAGGATCTATTGGCACTGGTAGTGCATGCAGCTGTCTATAACTGATGAAAACACCAGAAGTCCAGGAAGATATTGGAACAGCAGAGGAGAAAGCAGGAATATGCAAGATGGGAAAATTCATTTAGGTCAATGCTCATCTACTAGCGGAGATCCTGGAAATGCATAACATTTCATAACATAAATTGGGAAGTGTCCCTGTGGGACAACCCAAAAGTTCCTTGACATCTGTGTGGCAGTTAAATGAAATAAGCTAGATGGTTTGGCAGGCTCAGGAGATTGTATGTTGTCTGTTTGCTTCTGCATATTGTCTCTTCTCAGTCAGAATCTGATGGCTCCTGGTAAGCCCCTATTCTCCCACCTCCGAAGCTAGTGAATATGATGGCATATGCACTGTGCACATAGTGCATCTCAAACCTCACAGTGTCTGTGCATCCAATATATGCATCTGGTTCTGATTTAATGCCTTCCCAGGGACTGATGTACAGGGAGCTGTAATCATCCTGTCTCACACTAGCAGCAATGTCCTGCACCATGCAGTCAAGGCAGGGCACTTCTCTGTGTCCTGCTCTGCATCTCTCCTACCCCTTGCAGCATAAGGCGGGTAACTCCCATGCTGAGAGAGTGCTCTTCTTTGTATTCTTTCAGTGCCTTCTGCTAATCTGATCCTTGCTTTTTGCCACATGAAATGGGATCTGAATTCATCTGGGATTTTGTTTTTATATTTCCAGCTTAAAAGTCCTTTGCTCGGCTTCCTTACAGTTTCAGCTTTGATAACAAATCAAAGACAAGACTACTTTCAAGTACTCCTTTCCTTCTGTGCCAAAAATAATGGTGTCTCACTGCGTCTCCCAAGGGAGAATAATTTCTATTTGCTTCATATGGGATTTTCCCTTAGGCAGTTTTACAGCCACTTGCGTGATTTGTCACCTTGCCAGCTAATTAAAACCAAAAATTCAGCTTGCGGATTTTGGAGCACTTTGAACAACAATAATGGACATACCTGTGGACAAAAGCCTACATGGTTGTCTCCAGTCTAGTGGATGAGAAAACAAAAGAGAGCAAATCTAATAATGGAACCAGAAAAACATGGTCTTTGCTTCATGCATGTTGCCTGTACGCTTGTATTTTCAGCTTTGCTACCTCTTAATGAGATGCTAATTAATGCAGTGTTAACCTGCTCAGCTCATTTTTCTTTCTCATGGAACACAAATCAAATGCTGAATGTTCTTTTTTTGAATCTTGTTTGTCTTCTTGGAAAGAACTGGTGTCTCTAAAGGAGCTGAAATTATCACACTGGTTTTGCTTATCCTCCATGCAGGGGCATCACCAATACCTCTAGTTTGTCTTCAGGAGTTCCGTTTGCTGCTGCAGTATTTTCTAGCTTGGATAAAAATACTCACTTTCTCTGGTTTCCTGGACAAGTGATAGCAGTCCATACAGCAGCTTTTGTAACAAGTTCACATCATATAGTATTATATAGTTTAACATAAAAATGTACAAAATTTAAACTTTAGAATTCCTCCACCGCTATTCACCCGAAGACTCTTTATGTCCTGTAGGTTTCGTGGTATAATCATGCCATACATGTGTGCAAGTCAGGTATAATTTTATAACAAGCAGTAATACCGCAGGCTACCTTCCCGACAGAAAACCACGTTGTTGCACTACACCACCAATGAAAACAGGTCTGTAACTTTTACTGTGTGAGCTCTCATAACACACCCAGGGCCACTGTGTCAGTGTACCACTTGGTAGTGCATTTAGTAGTGCAACTAAAATCCATCATGTTTCCTCCATTACCCTCTCCCAAAAGGACGAAAGATGAAGTGTTCTGGGGGAATGCTTTACACACACACACACACGAACTGGCACATGTTCCCACTGCAGAAATGCAGCAGGTGATTCCAGCAGAAAGCACAAGGTCTGTGATGGTCCTGAGCTGCTGAGTGACTGCTGGCAGAGCCCCAAGGCAGCTCAGCAGGACCTGGAGCTGGCGCACTAGATCCAGACCCAGCTCCAGGGGGACAGGCCTTTGGACAAGAGTGCGGGTGCTAACAGGTCTCCTCCCTCTATCAGCAAACCAGCCGTTTGCTCCTGCTGCTGCTGTGATTGGAGGTGAACTAGTGCAAGGCTGCAGAAACTCTTATGTCGAAGCCGGGTGACCTTCCAGTCCTGGTGTCCTTTCAGCTGAGGCATTTCTTGGGGTGTGCAGCATGCGGATGCTCTGGCAGCTGGGACAGAGCCTCACTGAAATGTCTGTAGGGCTTCATGCTGTGGTTTCAGGGGGGGAGCAAGTCCAGGCTGCAGCAGGTGTGTAGATCTAAGCATATCTTCAGGCTTTGCAAGCTGAGATATTGCAGCTGCCAGTGGAGAGATGAACTCATACGCACTCAGTGTGGAAGCAAGGAGGCAGGCAGGAGGGCTCTGCTGGCATGCTGCCTGCCTGTGCATAGCACAGCACCCATTCTCCTGCCCCCTCCCAGTGCCTGCCAAATGGTGTGCTGCTGGCTGCAAGAATTCCTCAGGCTCTTTACTCCTGTTGGCTATTTTTGTAACCACTGACTGTAAATACTAATTGCTGTGGAAGAGCTGAGAAATCTAGGTGGCACTTGTAAGAGAAACAAATCAAAGTAAATTAAGACGCAGGGGTGTGCATAGCCTCTCCAGCTAAGTGCAGTTCCTTTTGCAGCCAAACAGCATTTGTGGAGCAGACTGCTATGGCATTGGATAACAGCAGCAGACTCTGAGCTTATGTCTCCAAGCTGAGAGATCAGAGAAAGTCAGCTTGTTTACCTGCTTGTGAAGCAGACTGGCTCTTTGTAACTATTTCCTGGGATCTTGCTCTCTGCCAGTTTTATGGTAGTTTTGGACACACGAGGTATGATTTTGCATCTTTGGTTTGGCAGGTTCAAGGCTCAAGTCATCCCAAATAACCAGCCCAGAGGTTTACCGCATTAACTATGGCAGTGCTCAGTGTCCTGGCTGGGAACTTTGCTAAGATAAACCAGAATGCATAAATACGAACTCATTTGCCAGGTGTCGCTTAAGTTCAGGGAACGGCATACTCTACAGATGGTGCCCACAGCTTGTGGGCATGTACTGCTGTATTTAAGGCCTGCAATCTAATACCAAATGTGCCTCAATTCCGCAGCACCAGGTCCATCAGCAGGGCTGCAGTAGTTGCCCACACGCCTCCAGCTGACTTTTCCTCTCCAAGCAAATGCATTGCCGTAAACCACCAGTGGGGTTTGGGTTTGCATTTCACTTCCCATATGCTTTGGATTGTGTAACTAAGCCCCCAGATTCCTCATCTCCAACAAAGATGTTTTACAACACTGCAGACCAAATCCAAACCACAGACATGCCATACAACAAAGAAAACAAACGGCACAGTCAGGTCCCCCTCCCAGCTGAGGCCTGGGGTGCTGGAATCAAAAGCACTTTTTCCTCTGCTTTACTAAAATGTCAAATAAAAAGGAAAACATGGTGAAGTGGTCATGCTCTGCCCCACATCTGTAATACCTGAGTACGTTGTAACCTAGGCTGAACCCTTCTTTTCTGACCTGTTTGCAGATCCTTAGCAGACAGCAGTAACATTGACATCTGCAGCACTTGGCTTTGCTGCCTCAGCACCAAAAAAAACCCAGAATCCTTCATCAGCATCTGCCCAGTCCCTCTGCCAGCCCCTCAATTTAGACATGATTCCACAATGAGACAGGAAGGCAGTCTCTAAATAAAGTTTCAGTCACCTCTCATCTCTAGCGACTGGGAACATGAGCCCTCCCAGTGCCCACCAAAATTTCATACCAGGGAAAATAAAGGCCATTACCAGAAACTTTAATAGGGCACGAAAAGGTGCTGTCCGTAGCTGTCTGCAGCCGTATGATGCTATGGCTGTAAAATAGCATCTGATGTCACAAACCTTCACAAAATAAAAATAAGAGAACACATGACATTCAAACCCACAGAACAGCATCAGCCAAGAGCCCAAACTGTTCTGAGCCTTACAGGCACACTTTATGCTTCCTAACTATGTGCCACCAGGGGTGCAGAGGGAAGGATTTTCCTTTTAACTGCTCCAAACTCTTCTTATAAGGAAACATTTTCCAAATGAGTCATGCTGCAGAGACTTGTAAACATAGCACTATTGAGCTGGCTTCTTCCTATGGCATTTTTCCATATTTACACATGTAAGGAATGCGAGGGTGCTTCAGAGACAAGATATATAGACTTCAAAACATTTAAATGCCAGCACTTTGGTATTTCATCTTCAGCTGCAAGGTTTGTCTGATGAATGTCAAAACCAGCACAGCACAGCAAGAAAGCAAAGAGAAAGGCTGTAGTGGAGCAGTCAGGCACCAAACCAAAGACACTGATTGATCTTGCATAATCGCATAGGAGACGTTGATGAAACCATTTAACTCTTGATACAGGAGCCCAGAGTTTTTGATTTTACAGGCAGTTCTTCTAAGTGCCAACCCCAGATTATGAACATTTATCTGTTACTCAAAGAAATCCATTAAAAAGGAGTAAACAAATCAACAATCCCATGTCAAGCAAATGCACTTTGCATCCTGAGCATGCGCCAAAAGCTGGACAAATGGCTCAGGATTCTTGCCCATGGTGAGTTCCCCAGGGACAGAATTCCCTCAGGAAAGCTCAGCTCCATTGCAAAACAAAGCATGGGGAGAGGCTGGGAGCTCATAGCAAGCTTGCTTCAGCATTTCCTTGCCTTGGGTGTATGCTTTTATAACAAAGTGGACACCATCTACCTGGTAAGATTTCAAAAAAGAACTGTTTAAACGTAAGCATCACACAGATAAGATTTTCACCTGATCCTAAGGTTGCATTTATAGAGTTGCTGCATAACTAGGAAAAAATTAATCAAAGGAACAGAGTATGCTTTAGGAAATCAACCTTTGGCTTACGTGGGGCTGAGGTATTGTCCTTATCTTACAGATGCTCACTCACTGAGACAGCCTAATTCAGTAGTTTGGTAAAGCCTAACTTTAGGCAGTTGAAATTATTAGTCTTCTTTCACACTTACAATAAGCACGACTGAATCCCTTCCTGGATCAGAGACCAGAAGGCCCGGTTTCTTGTCTCACTCTGTTCATTACTCCACCCTCTCCAGAGGTAATCTGTCCTTGCCATGGGTTTATTGCCATCTTTATGGGTTACAAATCAAACTTCCCTTTGAAGTTAAGGTTGAAATGGAGCAACATTCAGGGAAAGTGTGAAGCCTATAGCCTTGTCTCTCCTTACTGTATCAGGGACTGGAGAGATTAAGAGACAGTGAGCTCATCTCAGTCTCTAGGCTTGCTTTTGGGCTTCTCTCTCCTCCACTAGAGCCGAGATGCTATGATTCTTAACCTCAAAGACGAGCTCCAAGAGATAAAAGCCAAAGTGAGCATGGAGAGCTCCTATGTGAAGAAAAGCACTGACCTCCAGGCCCATGAAACCCAGAAGAGGTGTAACAATGCAGAGAATATCCTGGACAAGGAAATTCAGGTAAGCCCTTCCCCATGACCCCTACTGGAAGACATATCCAGCTAGTAAGGAAAGAGTCCTCCCTTGCTCCCCAGATGCCCTTTGTGTTCTCCATCACAGTCACCAATACAGCTATTTGAACTGGATCAGAAAACTCATCCAGGTTAGAAATCTTTTACTCTTCCACTGCATCTCTGTATGGTCCTGCAAACAGCAACAGCATGGATGGCATGGCTGCAGGAGACAATGGCTGGAGGCAGGGACTGCTTAAAGTAATGACACTATCAGAAAAACAGACCCATAACTACATCCAAAGGGTGTCATTGCAAGGCTGTGTAGCAACATAAGCAGCCTGCACTCTCAGCACTGGCTGCAGCACATGATGCTGATAAAGCTGTTCATGCGGTCCTAAGGTGAATTGAGCTAGAAAATCATTCTAGTTTTGCAAGCTTCCCCTTCCTCCCCTTTCCCCCCCAAAAAGTCTGATCTAGTTGTCCCTTCTTTATGGATGGCCCAAGGTCAAGGACTGCCTCGGTTAATTTTGTCACTGGGAAAAAATAGCTTTGACTACGCAAGTTGCTCCTGCACTCTTGCTCACAGCTCAGCTTTCAGCTCACTGACGCTGTCTCTTGTTTTCTGTCTGTGCTGATCACAGAAGCTGAAGAGCAAAACTGATGAGGAGATTCGAGTCCACATGGAGATTGAAGATTTCCTAAGGCAAAACCATAAGGTACTTGTGACTGTGCTAATGCTCAAAGTAGCAACTGATAAACATAGTATCCTCAATTAGTGCCTAAACAAAGCCAGTCATTGCTCTATCGAATTTACCAGATTCTTCATTGCTGCTGTTTAACGACTGTTTATCCTCAAGTCATAATTAACCCAGCTCACCCAGATTTGGGATTTGCTGCATTTCCTTAAAATTAGAGCTCGTGTAATGATCAGCATTGTTTGTTCAGGTGTTACAGGACTGTTCCTCCCTCCGAGAATTGTATTCAGCTAATCGGGATTTTATTTAGACCTTCCCTGGCAGTAGCTGGGGCTCCCAGTGCCTCAGTGAGGGGTGCTACTGCGCAGAGTGAGGGTGACTGTTTCACCAACCCAAGTGTTGCACACAGGAGGTACCAGGGAGGAAATGTCATGAATTGCCAGCCCAGTTTTGCCTTACCTTAATCTGAGGAAGTATCAGGGTTGGATAACTGCTAATTCACATTACTGTACCCGTTTTCAGCAGCAACCAACCATTAGTGTTCTTGTGCTGTTGATCCAGAAGTTAAGGGCTCTCCTATTATCAACAGTGTGTCCATTACAGTGAGTAACACTGGAAAGCATCTCAAACCACATGACTGGAAGAAAACCTGTACTACTGCAGGGTGCCTAACATCTCTGCTAGTACAAAATGTATTAGAAGATACCACATTAAAAAAAAAAACAAAATTGAGTGCAAAAAGTGTGCTGTATCATGTGAGCAATTGGTGTCCTCTGTATCCCAGAGCCTTAGGCTGATCAGCGCTTCATAGTGAGGAGGCTTTCCAAGTACAAGCTGCAGCCTATTTGACCTCTACCATACAGCAAACTACAAGCCTCTCTGTGCTCAGACAGCAGCTGGTGGCTTTATAGGGGCCCACAGAGAAGAGAATGACCATGGCCTCCATCTCCCTTGTGTGTCCAGCTGTGATGCCATAATGAGATTGATGCTTTCCCTCAGATTATTTTTCCATGCAAGCCATCATGGTTGTTGCCATGGAGAAGTTGTTCATGAATGGAAGGAAGTCATCTGGGTGACTGTTTCAGAAACACCTGCCCTTCTATTCACAAGTGAGACAAAGCCAAGTTCACGAAATAGCGTGAAGTGCACCTCTGGGACCTTATTTCTGGTGTGCTGAGCTTAATACAGAAAGTGGGTAGGGAGTCAGGCAGAGAAGAAAAGCTTTCTCACTGACAAATTCTGCTTCTTAACCCCCTCCCTCCCTCTGTGTACACACAAAGAATGGTTTCTAATTGTCACTTACCTCACCGGGACTGACTGTGTACAAAACTAACCCGCAGTGCTGTGCCATTCTTCATGCACCCCTGAAAGCCCAACCTAGCTTCTCTTCATCCCCAGTCCAGTGCTGCAGCTTCCGTGGTGAACTCTCAGTGAGGGACCTGCAGGCCACCAGTGATTTATCACTAGGCCTAGGGCTTTGGCCATTTCAAGATGAGAAGAAAACACCGAGCATGTGAAATTTAGGGGACTCTTAAACCATTCTGACAGCAGGCCATATAATAGGAGCAAACCTTTCCCCTGTACGCTCTTTTTACTATGCTGAACACCACTCTATTCCCCTGCAGAAGGTGGAAGAGAAGCTGGAATTCTGGGTGGACAAATATGAAAACGATACAGATGCTAAAGACAAAGAGCTGGATGCTCTAAGAGCATTAAAGGCAAACAACTTGGAAATACTGCAGGGACTTGCCAAGGAGGTAAGACATCAGCAGCATCTCTGCTCAGCCGTGCAAAACTGCATCCTGGCTTTTTCTTACCTGCATTCAGGTAAGGAAGCAGGACCACGGAAAATAAAAACCAGTAATCTTGAGGTGTAGGGTGAGGTGGTTCTAGGAAGGCAGGGACTGAGTAGTCATCTTCTGTTTGCCACCTGTGACACTGAAGGATGATGATGGTGCTTCCCCTACAGCAGTTGTCAAATACCAGCAAATAATCAGAGCTATTGACAGCCTTTGAGAGGGATAAAGACACTGTCCCACCCCATCAGTATGCCTCACCTTCATCTGCTGCCTTATTCTGAACATATCTGCTCCTTCTAGCCACTCTGGGGTAAGACAGGCTGAGACTGGAAGAGGCAGTTCATCCCTTCCTGCAGATGCACATTTACAGCTACACAGTGCTCTAAGGGACTGACCTGGTTAAAACTATTCCTGCCCCACACTAGTTTTTTGGTTAACTGCCATGCTCTGAACACAGCTATGCAGGCACAGTAGAGCAGGCAGCACAGGGTGGAGAGAAGTGTCTAGAAAAAGAGGTTTTCTAAAGCCAAAAGGAATTAATTTGTAATCATTCCTTACTGTCATTGGGTATGAGATGATGGGACTGAGTTAGGTGTTTCCCTGTTTGTGGGCTCATATTTTTTACCCTGTACACTGTCATCTCAGTGTCCCAAGTGTTTGTACATCATCTGCTGCCTACCCTGGGGGAGCACAGGTCCTTCCTACCACCATCTGTTGTCTGAGACACCATCAGACAGCCATTTTACAGCACAGGATCAGAGGGTTAATTATACCCAGGCCATGAGAGGCTTCACTTTGGCGGCAGCTCTCAGTGCCTTTGGACTGATGGTGGTAATGAGCAACATTTGCCATCTGGATTCAGGAAAGGTCAAATAAATGGGTGGGGGAGGAAGGCTCACACTTACACATTGCCCTTGGGCTGCCATGGAGCTCCCTGGTGCACAGGGTAGAGACCCGCACTGTGGCCCATTAGACAGCCAGAGCAGAAGAATCCTTGCACGAGGGTCTGGATGCTCTGGCAGGCTGCTGGGCAAGTTGAGTCTTGAAGGACAGCCCTGCACTTTAGGGAAAGTGGTTTTCATGCTGCTGTTGCCACCCTTGTGCTATCTTGCAGTGCCAGACATTTGAGAAAACCATCATCACTGACCGGGCAGAAAAGGATGCTAAAAGAAAACAAATAGAGCAGGATGCCTTGGAGCTGAAGAGCACCCTGAAGGTAAAGGGGAGCAAAGCTGAGGCAGTGCTGCTCCATCAGCAGATGGAGTTAATAATTTGTGCCATTTATTTAGGCAGAAAATGGCCCAAGAAAGTTGGCTGGTGTGGGGCAGCACAAGCAAAGGACAGACAAAGCCTGTCCCTTTCTACTGGGGCAGACACAAAGCCAGCAGTCAGCTGCAGGTTTGAGAAAGGAGCGAAAGGGGAGAAGCTGGTCCCCTCAAATGATTTAGGGCTGTGCCTATCACACCAGCCCCACTGCATGGGTGAGAGAAGGAGGGTCATGGAGCTGTCCCATGCTCATCCCCTTGCCACCAGCAAGAGATGTCCTTGGCCCAGATGTGGATTCCTTCAGCATGACCAGCACAGGCCCAACTGCTGCTATGCAGGCCAGAGGTTCCCTCTTGCAGCTGGGCAGCACAAGAGAGACTCTGCCCATTGAGTTGTACCAGGTACTCCAACAAGCAGCTTCTCCTAAGACATCTCTCTCTCTCTCTTCCAGCTGCAGTCCTGGTGGAGAGGTACAATGGTCCGCAAGAACCTTGGCCCCTACCAGAGCCTCAAGAAGAAGATGGAAAAAAAGAAATCAGACCACAAAGAAAAAGGGAAAAAGGAAAAAGCTGGAGCTAAGAAAAAAAAGTGATAAGAAAGTGGCCACAGAAATGCTCCACGGCTGTTGCTAGGCACGGCACTGCTGTTGGTCTGTCTGACACAATGAAATAAACCAAGTTCTCGAGCTATTCTGGAGAACACAATCATGTCAGACACGGTTAAGGTAAAGCTACAGTAACTCTTATGATCTTGAAGCTGCCCTTGCACAGCAGAGACATTTTCTCCAGCAGAAAGGGGATTTGCATCAGAGCAGTGAGAAACACTATGTCTCCCAAAGTGCCGTATGGAAGCAAGACAGCTAGCAGGAGGTAACCCTGTTAACAGCCCAGCATCTCGCCTGCATGGGATGCTCTGCACTGAGAACGTCCTCTGCAGACCCCAAAGCTCTGGCCATGGCTGAGGCACTGGTGTTTGCTGTGGCTCCAAGTGAGGCAGGGAGGCCAAGTCACCCACACCTGGGCTCAAGCAGCACCCTCCAGGCTGTCAGTGCTGGCATCAGCTCAGCAGGGGAAAAACTGCTGACAGCTTGCAGTGTAAACACAAGGGCAGTCAAAACACGCAGGTTTCCATTCCCCCAGTCCTGCAAAATGTCAGTGCACAGCATAGCTCCAAATGCCCCCCACCGGGGGAAGGCACATCGAAAAAAGACAGCCGGATGCACTGCCTGCAGGAGCTGCCCTGGCCTCATCTGTGCACAGCAACATGAGGCAGCAGAGAGTGAAGCTGCTGGACAGCAGTGCGCTGCTTCTCTAACCAAGAGGGGAGCCCCTTCTCCTGACACGATTGTCAGGCACATGCAGGCCTGTGCACACAGCAAAATTAGCCCTGTGGCTGGTGTCTGACACTGCCTCACAGGAGAGAGTGCTCAAACCACACAAAACCTGCTGTGCTGTCAGTGACCAGCTCATGCTGGCCCCATCCAAACATCCTCATGCCCAAGCTGAACTCTGCCAAAAGATCTAAAGGTGGAGATGAATGACTGAAATCATAGAGAGCCTTTGGCTCATGGCTCTGAACAGCAGAGAAGAGGCTGGGGCAGAATGGATCGTCAAGGGAGCACAGAAGTTTCAGATACAGGTTCCCCTCCCAGCACTGGTACCAAAGCCATTTTGCTCACTTTGGTCATGGTCCCCATGCAGTGTTAAGAGCAGGTATCATGAGGCAGGACTGTGCTTGCACCCATATTGACACTACATATCCACACTCCTCATTGTAGGAAGCGCTTCAGAGCAACTGTGGGACTTAGGTTCCAAATCTTAACTCTCCTTTCTCATGCACTGCTGACTTATGTTTTCCATAGGTGGTGGGTGTTAACAGGTGACCTGTTCAGGTGGAAGGAATGAAGTCTGATAATAAACTCTTCAGAGGGCTTGAACAAAGGAAAGCGGGATAAGTGGAGGGGTGGTAGACCTGGTATCAAATTCTAGGCACACATTAATATAGTCAAACAACTGAAATCTGAAACGTGGCATCTGCTGGGCTCTGACTGCTTTTTAGCAGAAAGCAAACCAAAATTCTGGTTGCAAAGAAAAAATCAGCAGTAGAACAAGCTCTGTTATTCCACTAAGGTGGGGGGTGCTGAAACCTCAAGTCCAACACAAGTGTCCCAGCCACTGGTGGTACTGCAATGGGGGTGAAGGTGTTGAACTTGACCTCGCACCTCCCAGGGAAGGACAACATGCTCCTCCCCAGGGACTGTGGCCTGGCTGCCACCCATCCTGCTCCTCCCAGCCTCCTCCTGCCAGCAGCCCATCCCAGAGGTGCTGCTCCCCTTACAAGCCTTACCTTGCTTAGCAAAAACTGCAGCGTCACTCTGTTCCTTGGCTGTGCAGCATGCAAGAAACTGGCTGAGTGCGTCTGGTGGTGGGAGTGGAGAGCAGTGGCCCAAAACCTGGCAGCGTCGAGGAACTCTGTCAGGGTTGGTACTGTGTGTTTTCTCCAGCTATGCGAAGAGGGGATCAAAGCACACATCCATATTTCTTGCAGGGAAAACCAGAAATCGCAAGCCCTTTGGAAGAAGGGGGTTCCTGGGAGGTAAACGGAGGAGAAAGGCTGGAGATCAGGAAGCTGGTTAGGAGGTGGCTTTGGAAAGAGTGAACACCTGGAGAGAAATGGGTAGCCCTCACAAAGGCAGCAGCTTGGTGAGCAGTGAACAGGGGCACACAGTGGGAAGGTTGTGCCTCTCTGGCAATTTCTAGGCCTTTACTTATTTATTTTTCTAAATAATAAAGACTAGCTATGAGGAGGGAAGAAAAGAGGAGCAGGCATTTTGGTTAGTAAAAACAAACCCTTCAAGTGCTGCAGGGCACGAAGCTGGGTGCAAGCTTTACAGATTAGACCCGAGGTAGGATAAAACCAAGCAAGCGACAAGAGCCACAAGGAGCAGCAGCACCAGCAAAGTCCCCAAACCCAGAGTGTACTTTCTACTTGGAGGAAAAACCAGGGCGTGGGGAGAGGGGAGCAAAGGATTCTGAACAATATCACTGCTTCTCTGTGTCTGCGGAAGGTAAAGTATCCCCAAGAAAAAGCTTCTGACGTGGCTGCAGAACATGTGTAAAGACAGTGGAGTTGCTCTCTCCTAGTTAACTACAAAAATGAGAGGAACAAAGAAGTCCACTAACTGGCACCTGCAAGGATGAGGAAGGGGAATAATCACCCGATACAGAGGATGTGACATTCATGGATGGAACAGAAAAACAGCAGGAAGAAATAACGTAACTCATGTAAGTTTGAAAACTTTATTTCAAATTACCCATGGTTTCCTTTTATATTACCGGTGTGCTAGAAGTTCACACTACTGGCAGAATACAGGCAATGTAAAATATACAATACTCAGACACATTTATGTGTAACAGACTTAGAAATTATGGAATGTATTTACAGACATACAGCATGGGATGGAGCTTTAAAATCCTTTACTCTATTAATTACACGTTTACACTGTTTTCAGAAATAACAAAATTAGATCACTTTGTAAAACATCACAGTATCTATACAAAAGCATTTTTTAATGTCCAAATTCACCTTAGAAGTCCTCTGTTCCTAAAACATTTTTTCAAATAACCATTTATAGGCATAAAAGGATAAAAATACCATTTGCCAACGTGTCACAACCAAGAACAAGAGGTGTCCTTGGCGCTGTAAGAAGCTGTCTCAGATTCATTTTAAACAGGCTGCTGTGCTGGGGCCGTTACAAAAGGCTCCCCTTCAGCAGGGAGAGACCCAAACCCTGGGGGGGTTTTGCTGCCAGGGCTCCCGTGTGCCTGCACCGGCTCTGCCTCAAGCATGTAACCCTGCTGAGCATCAGATGCTGCCCAGCACTTGCCATGGCTCACGGAAGGACAAGTGGCACAGGGGAGTCAGTGTAAACACCAGCAAGCATGACACACTCAGGTGGATTACTCCTCCAACACAAATGCCCCCTCTTTGCTTTGTCATACGAAATAGGATTTTGTATGTGTTCTCTTTAAAATATTCTTTTCAAGGGATACAACAAAAATTGCACATAAATACACCAAAAAATCTGCACCCATTTTGCAAACAAGAACTGAAGTTGGGTTTGGTATAACACATTAAATTAACTGTATGATGAAACTTCAGGTTTGGATTTTGTTCCTAAACATCTAGTCAAGATTTAGTGCTTGCCAGGATGAACATGCAGGATCGTTAATGCCAAACTGATATGGTCACATACAGTGAAACTGCCAGAGGAAACCAGGGCTTAGCACAGAGCGAGTGATGGTGGAGGTAGCCCCTGCCCAGCCAGGCCACTGCTGCTACTTACCCAAGCTCTGCTGTCGCACACACACTGCCTGGACAGAAGGGGAGCTGCCTGCACCAGGCACAAGGGCAAATGGCCTTTTCTTGCTGTCCAGACTCAACCCACCACCCCATTAACTCCTAAAAACTAGTATTAATGAAACGCCAAACTTCCACCAACCTGAACACTGTTAGGCTTCACCTCCCTTAAGTGCTGGAAGCTGGACCGGAGCAAAGAGCACACCCCCACCACCCACAAAGGGTGTGCCAATAAAAGCAACTCAGCCCTGTAACAACACAAGTGACCTGATGATGGACACTGATGAAGTCAGTGCCCTCTTCGTTCAAATTCTGGGCAGCGACAAACACACACAGAGCGTTTGTGGTCCGTACTGTTTGCTTGTGAGTGGCGGAACCTTCCACCCAGCAAACCACAGCAGACTTCAGACACTTTGAGGTAATCCTGTGAGAATTACCAGCACTCCTTGCAAGCGACATTAAGTGAAATACAAGATCTAACCGAGGAGGAAAGTGTCTGTGTGGGCTGCTCTCTTCCTACACATGGCATTTTCATTTCCTGCCAGGCTCAGGGCAGCGCACATACCCAGTGTGAAAAGGCTTCTCTTCAGCTGCACAGTTTGAAATACCCTTTGGGTGTTCTTCTCCACTCACAATGTGATCAACCATCTACAGATGCCAGTAAGGAGCAACTGGAATAATTACGTGAAATAAGGGATTCAACACTCACCACAATGGACCTTGAAAGAAATACATGAAGCAAAATGGAGTGGAAACAAAACTGCAAATCAGAAGGGGGAAAATCCAGCTAAGCCCAGTCCTTAGCAGTGCTCCCATGGGAGGTTTACTTCCACAAGAATGCCTGTTAGCCAGCCTGCTCCCATTTCTTCTGTTATTATCCCTATGAAATCCTTCTGGTGTATTCTGCTTCAAATATATTCCCAGATGGAATACCTCCAGCGCCTGAGGTTGGTTTCAGACCCCATGCACCATGTGTTTATTAGTAGCAGAACATTCTGGGATGCTTTAAATGGGCCAAAGCAAACCAAAGGAAGTGCATGGGTGAGAACTAGATTTTGCAAGGTCTTGGGGGGGCGGGGAGAAAATACCATAGGTGTTTTGTTGTTGTGAGCTTGGCCTCAGCACTAGGACCAGAGCACATGGAGCTGGTCTTTGTTTTGTCAGAATCATCTGTCCAGAAAAATGTGAAACCTATTGGCTACCTCTCCCATTGCTGTATATTGAATTTCCATTTTCACATTAAGGAAAAAGGAAGTGATGGTAGCTCTGTAAAACCAGTGAGGCTCTCTAATAAACTCTCAACAATAAAAGGCTAATTTAAAGCCCTGTCGAGCCTACAAAAGAGAAGCTACCTTTTGTAACAGACCCTGTTTTGACAATACACAGCCCACTGCGGAAATTCAGTAACTGTGTTCTTAAAATGATGAATTTCTCAGTGGCTGGGACACTCACCAGTGCTGGGATGGCTGCAGGGGATGCTCCTGTCCCTAATAAACCCTTTGATAAAGGGTTGCCAAGGATTATTAGCACAGCAGGCTGCGATTCTTTGCACTGCAGTGAAAAATAGAGAGGTGGCTCCTGATGACATCTAGTCATCGTTCAGCAAAACCACTGATTAACCAAACACATCCCTACTTGACCAGAGGGGCAGGTGAGAGAACAGATGTGATCTCTCTCCACTGGTGTTGGGAAAACTGTCAGATAAAGATGTGTTAAAAACCCAAACAGAAAGTGAACCCAGCAAGAATGCTGATGTGATTAACACGATTTGAACAGTTCTGATTTAGTATCTTTGACTAAGGCGCTTTCTTGCAGAGAAAACACACAGTATTTCTCCCCCTTGAGAAAAAAAAATTAATCAGTTTTCCTTTTTTCTTCAAATTTTAAGCGATGAGGATGTGCCAACGCAAGTTACAGCAGCAGGAGGATCGACCCTGTCCTCAAACACTGCAGGTAAGATTGTGTGTTGCGATTTTTTAATATATATAATAGAAATAGCTGCTCTCTGGAGGCAAAGAAATTCCCCCTTTTTGAACCCTGTGAGGAGGGAAAGAATTTTTCCCATGTGCCCATTGCAGCAACATCCTTTTTTAACAATGAATTCCCCTAGGAATCTCTTTCCAAGCTATACCCATGTCAGCAAGGAATTCCCTACCCTCTTCCCAATGAACTCTGTTTTCTTTAAATAAGGGGCAAAATACTGTTAATAAAACGTTACTGGAAACTGTTGTGATCTCCAAAAAAAATGGAGAAATGAAGTAAAACATTCCTGTCAGGAATCACGGAAACTCGTTTCCTTAGAACAGAGCTCTGTGTGTTTGGATGCACTGCATGGGCAGTAAAGTCTTCACGTCCTTCTGCTTAGCCAAGGTAACCCCAAAGGTCCCGGAGGTCTTTACACAGCAGACAAGTGGTGAAGTTGCTGCTGCTTTGGGGGTGCCAGCTCCAGGAGCGCCTGGACAGTCACAGCTACCTGTGTCAAACCCTTCTCTTCTAAAATATGTAGAGGCAAACATAATTGCTCCTGAATGGGGAACAAAACAAAGACAAAAACAAAATGGATGAAAAACACTCAACTGAAAAGAAAGAAAAAATTAAGCAAAAGGTGACTATGAAATGTTATGGACAGCCAGCACACACACACACACACAGGTACGACATGAAACCCCTGCTTGTGGCTACACAACCATGAACTCCACTCTCAAAGAAGGTGGCCTCGGGCTAATCCTTGTGTTCATTTCTCAGAGAACTGTACAAATGAGAACCTGAAGAGGACTGTGGGAGGTGTGGGGAACAGCAGGTTGCTCTGTCTCTGCCCACACTGAAACAGCAGCAGATTATGAAACCAAAAGCAGATGAACTTCAGGAGGAGACAGCTTTCCCTCAGTGTGATGAGCCCACCACCACATGGAGCAGGAAAGGAACCATGGCCTCCTTTCCAGAGCAACACTGCCTTTTTGAGGAATTCCTCCTGTTTAGCTATCAAACGTGAGGACAGACATGCTTTAAAGCAGAGAATGAACCACTACCACTTATCGACCTCCCAGAAGTACACCCGCCTAGCAGGTTACCTCCAAAATCATCCTGAGGAATAAGAGTAATACGCAAAATGCAAGAGAGGTTTAAAAGTGTTTATTAATAATTGTGCTGTTCTCAGCCTAAGACGTATTTAAAGTCTCATCCTACATCAGTCCTTGGCACATCCTGGCCATCCTCACTCCACAACAGTCAGGATACATGTCCTGTATTTGTAGAAAATAACCAAAGTGTATCCTTCCTACAGAACTACATTTCACATGTTATTTCCACAGCAACCTGCCTTCCTCCACTTGTTGACCCTTTACTGAGTTTGGATGCTAAAGAAATCCTTCAGCATAAACAGCAGCAGCCAGCACTCCTCCCGCAAAGCTCAGGGTGGAGAGAGAACAAATGAAACCAGGCTGAAATTCTCACAGTAAACCATATGACCAGGCTGAAATATGTTTTTCTTCCAGCAAATTTGTGTTATTTTGAAAAAAGTGTGCTTTTTGTGAAAATACCTGTAAACTCGAGCAAACATGCCTTTTTTCTTCTGTGTGCAAGCAGGTAAGAGGAAAAGCTTTGGAATGAATCCATACAACAGTCAGTTGTGACAAGCAAAATTTAGAAACTGGAAGGCACTGTTAGTGTAAAGCCCCTTGCAGCTTTTAACACAGTGTTCATTAGAAGAAGTTACAGGACATAGGAACTGAGTTCATTTTAGTTCACACCAGTAAGCAGTGCAAAAATAGCTTATTTAGAAATAAAACTATTTCCCCCTGTCAGAGGTCCCCTCTTTGCTCAGAAGTGCTTTGCTTGGACAGAACACTGTGTGTGATTTGGAAAGAGGGCATCGACTCCTCTAGCTGCTTCTTTGTTAAGCACTCACTCTGTGTTACAAGGGCTTGCAAGACCCACGTCCACGTAACACATTTTTACTGGTAGCAACCACAAGTGCAACTGAACTCCTGTGTATCTTAAACTGTTTCAGAGCTGTTGCCGGGTTAGCATCGGAATCCTAACACCAGTTACACTGGGCTGACAAGCCATTTACTGTATTTTCAGATGTAACAGAAATATATTGAAAACACATTTGTCATTAAGCCATTTCATTTAACACTTACCTGTCACTAGTCTCTGAACAGAGTTCCCTGAATCAATCTACACTCTGAGGAGACATGGTCTTTTACACATCACATGGGGAGTGCCCTGAAGTACTGAGGTGTCCCTGAGACATTAAAGCATTAAAGCACCAGGATGCTTTTCCTGGGGAGGGAAAAGCTTTGAAGCTTTATGGAAGACTACCTGAGTTTTGTATAACAGTGAAGAGTCATTGTGCAACTGGGACTTGCATTTCTGCAACTGTATGATACAAAGGTTTCTGAAAATTACAGGGTGGGAGGAAGATGCATGGAACAAGCATGGGTTGGGCTGCCCACAATCAAGTGGAAACTCAAGAAGTTTTTGTTAAGTTTTATCCAGAGCACAGTAAAATGCTACGGCATTCTGTGGCATCCGACAGAATTTTAAGGGATTTTTCCTTCTGTGACAGAAAAAAAATTATTTCAAAGTTGTTAAAAAGTGCAATTTCTCTGAAAATTTCCTCCTTGATCTCTTACAAAGCTCACGTAGCTCAGGATTCACTGACAGCTACTGTGCAAATCCTGACTCAGAGTAATACATCAGTCTACAAATATAAGAAATCAAATGCTCTCGGAAGCAGCGTAAGGGTATGGAAAAAGAAAAACCAGCTACAAAGTCCTGTGGATAAAACTTACCAGACCATGCCTCCTAGGACTGTGAGATCTCATCAGGATCACTGATGTTGGAAAAAAAAAGCAACTTTGCCTTCTTTAACATTTTTCATCAGATAAATTCTCAATCAATTTACCAGGGTGGGTGCAATTCCCATTATACAGGTGGGAAAACTGAGGCACAAACTGACAGCACCGTTTTCCCAGGACTACATCACCTGTTGGCAGACTATAGCATGCACCCACACGTCCTAACCTCTGTGCCTCACTCTAGCTCCCAGACAGCGCTTCCTCCCTTGTCACCTGCTAAATATTGACACAGCAAATACAAATGTGGATTATGTCACAGACGGTCGTGTGGGTGCACCAGTGTGTTCACACGTTGTACTTGTCACCTCTGTCCCATCAGTGGGAAGTAAAGCACTTCACACACACAGTCTTGACAAAAACCAAAATCCTTTCCCAAGCACTGGAGTGACAGAGGGAGGAAGCGGCGACACTATCCTTCAGCTAGAGAAAAAAGACCCAGCGATAGAACATACAGAGCGTTAGCATTAGAGTACAGTAAAACACCACAAAGCCCCAGAGCTGAACGGAAAGGGAGACAAGACTGGATTCTTCTGAATCTGTCCCCAGGGAAAGAAGAGTCTCAACTGTTCTTTTAACGCTGAGGTTTAGCTGAAGAATGTCAGAAGGGGAACAAAGATTGTCCTGTCCAGAGTGTGTGAGCAAGAAGGGAAAACAGACAGAAAAAAAAGGTCAGTCAGTTAGCTATAGCAACATCCATGAAGCAGTTATCAGACATCTCAGATACAGCCTACATAGTCAAGAAGCATATCACAGCTGGTTAATTCGCACAAAGGAATCCGCAAGACTCCCATTGCAAAGAACAGACCTAATGCAAACATTTAGTGTTCGGTGAGGTGCCTGTCACCTGTGTACAGCTTAAACACGTAACTATTCCTTGTTGTTAAAAACAGCAGTTCACACACGCCTTAGTGAAAACCATTTTTCTCCAGGGGACACTGCAGGCACTGAGCACTCACCAACACTAAGTCTCCATATGTATCTTAGTTAATGAAAACAGCAGGACAAGGGTAGTCTGCAGAAATACCTTTACTAATTAGAGTTTAAGTGTTCTGCAACTATTCCCAATGTGTATCTTTTCCCTTCCTTTCACCCAGGTAATAAGTGTAAATCAGTGGAATCTAGATGCACAGATTAATCTGTTCAACTGCCAGACTCTTTTGATGCAAGGGCTTTAACTTGCAAAGTTCTGTAAAGAGCTGTGGAGCCTGTAATTACCATTTTCTAAAAGCAGTCTTCCTCTTAGTGTTTCTACATAGATCTGTATTTCATAAAGCCTTTTATTTTTGTAATGAGACGTTAAAGGAAAGGAAATACCTGCAGGCATCTCTAAAAAAAAAACATGCTAGGCTGTCAGGCCATTCTTGCATATCTTATATTCACATATCAGCAGATATGTAATGTAGACATGTGAGAGCAACTTCAGAGTTGGTTGGGTGGGGCTATTTCAGTAAGCTTCCCCAGAGACACTCTCCTTGAACTCTTCCACATTAAAGCAAGAGATATGAGAAAATCAGAGGGGTCCTGGACTGTAGGTGCAGCAGATGGAGCAGGCTGCATCTATAAGGGCCTCTTTCTTGACTGGCTTTTTTGTTTGTTTGTTGTTAAAGGTGGGTCATTTCAGTGATCTGCTCCGTATCGTAATCTCATAAAAATCACACCTGCATGTTTGAGGGAGCTGTAATTAGGGAAGCTGGGATGGAATTGAACAACTTTGCCTCAGGCAAATTTATATTGTGTAGTTCTGCCGGGAGTAAAAATCTGAAGTCCTAGGGTACCAAAATAGTGCAGGATCTGAAAGTGCTAATTATCACTTACAACTCCCTACCACATTCCAAGGCAGTTCACCACTGAGTCATGTGGAATTGCAAGGCATTTGATATATATGATATCCTAAAAGCCCAATGGTTAAAATGCCTTCAAGTGAACTATCTCAACACACCAAAAAATACTGCATGACTGACTTGAAAACAGTGGTTTTAGAAACAACTGGGAAATGAGTGCCTGGGTCTACTTTTCCTTTTCACAATACAGAAGAAAAAAACCAGCACCTACAGTAGAAACGCTAACGCTTAGCAATATAAGAAACAAAATTAATTAATGCACTAGAAGAAATACTAAGAAAAACATGATGTATCAAAGTTATTTGTGCTGACACAGCTGCTAAGACAAAGTGGAAAGGACAGGATAGCATAAAACAGGGTAACTGGAGTCAGATGGACTATTTTATGTTCCCATCTCCTAGATCTTCCAAGTTTCAGAAGGTGACAAGGAGTATCTGAAGATGGATTTCTACCACTAGTATATAATGAAAGAATTAGGATCTATGCAAAGATAGCTACCATCACAGAAAGGCCAGTAATACTGTGACTTGTTCGTAAGACAGTAAAGGTATCCATGTAAGAGAATTATTCTGAAGGAATGTGAAAAGCTTTGGGAAAAATAAAACATGCAAAACATCATCCAAATTTTATCCCACTTATAAGCTGTCAGATATCTAATACTGTAGTTAGAAACACCTTGCAGTTCTAAAGGCAGACTTGAACTGCATCAGCTATTATGAATTTGAGGGACAACAGTAAGTAAGACCTCTGATATACTAAATCTGACCTCATTTAGCTCTGGAAGATTATACAAGCTAATTCTGATCTATACCACAAGACATACCTTATACCTGCACCTTCTAAGCTTTTAGTAATTTTGTTTTCATCCAATCTTTCAAAGAAGGTTTTATTTTCCGAAGCATCATACAAAACTGCACCTGAAACATTATATCAGGATAGCAGGAATACGTACCTGAGGCACTCCAATCCTCCTGCAAGCTTCCAAGAAATTCTCCACATTTCGTCTGCATTTTGCCATTGTGAGTTTAGGCTGCAAAGAAGGAGGCAGGCGCAGTGCTTGTTATTGGCAGGATTTTAAAAAAATCTTAATTTTTTATTTAAATCAAACTCCTAATAAATCTCTTTGCCAAAAACTTACTGCACTGACCTAAGCTTGTCTAATTCAAAGCAGGCTCTGTTTAAGTTTGCTTTTCTTTAGAATTTCAAAGCCATTTTATGCAAAGCTAATTTAGGAATTCTGGATGTTGATTAAAAAAGACAATTTTAAGCTGTGCATTATTTAGACACAAGGTGCTATGAAACTGGCCAACACCCTTAGTGACCACAATATAGCAATTTAAAAAATATACTTTGAATGAAACGCATGGCTTCCATGCTGTGATTTCAGAGCAGTTTCATGATATGAAGCAATCTGGAGTCTGTTCTGGATGACTACAATACAAGAACATATAAATCTCAAACTGTGCTTCAAATAACAAAGAGATTAAAAAAAAAAAAAGGCAGGCTGTTAGATGTAACCAGAACATAATGGGAGAAAAGTGGAACTGAAGCTTGCTGCTTGTAGACGTGTCTGATGTAGCTGTTTGAAGTGCACTCACCAGCATTTTTTTAAGCAAGCTTTTTTCTACAGTTAGCTTGCACAGCTCTGCACATACAGACCATGGCACAGCCCCTGTCTCCTTTCTATTCGTGAAGCTTATTCTTTTCTGGTCAAAGAGACACAGGCTTCCTGCTCCTTTGAAAAAGCTACCCAGAGTCTACACAGCAGCAGGCAGCAGCCTCTGCGGGTTCAGTCCTTTTCCACAAATGGCAAGGATTCTGCCGTATCCCCTCAATGTGCCACATTTTCCCCATCAAGAAAGCAGGTTAGTTAGTGCTGACTTCTTTCGCCCCAAAAGACGAAGGGAATACAAAGATTACATTGTAACTGAGGAATGACATGATGCCTCTTCAGCTCCTGGAGCCACACAGCTAATGGCTGCACCCTCCTTGGGATTAGTATGACAAAGCCATGATTTACACAGAATATTCAACAGCACATAAAACCAGGCCATTGAAGAGATACTCTCAATGACGTAAGTCTTCTGAATAGCGGCTGTATGCCTTTTCTCTTAATGATTCCACAATCTGCCTAAAATGTTGGCATGTCCAGTTCAATCATTCTCAAAGCAATGAAGACATTTGCTTGTTCACATTAAGTCCAAGGGAGAGGAACCACAATGATATAGTAGGCAGCCCTGTAAGTGCCAGTTCAAATTCCAGCCAACACAATGACAGACTTCAAAATAAGGAAAAGCAAACATGACAGGCATGTTTCAGCTTCTTCCCACAGGAACAATCTCTAAAGGTGCATAACAAGCAGTCTGCCTGTTCCTAATACGTTTAAGTAGCTGACCCTAAGCATCTTCACTGAACTTTCTAACTTCCACAAATACAGATTAGGTAAATGATCTGCTACTGTCTCCCAGTTCTTGACCTTTCTCTAGTTCTGTGCTTTCCCTATGTGATACACAGTGACCTGCATCCTGAAATCTATTACCTTCACTGCTTTCCCAAAGCACTGCAGATAGCCAGGGTCAGAGAAACAACTTCAGACATTTTCAAACTTCTCTGTTTGCAGTGTGTCTGCATTTCCTTCCTTGCTCTCAACAGGAAAAAAGGTTGTATCTGGGGACTATTATCACAAAGGTATGACTGGATTTGTTTTGTTCCAGGAGATGCTGTTCTCCTAGTAGCTTGAGTGCGCTCTGCTGAAATTCCTAAGCAGAGGAATTTGTAGTGCTGTGGACATACGAATCAACTTGATTTCTCTGCCTGTTTTTACTGTCTTACGCAGTGGAATCCTAAAAGTGGTAGAGAATATTCTATTTCACTACTATCTGCTTTTCTTAACTTCTCAGACCTTCTGATAGAATCATAGAATAGAATCATAGAATAGTTAGGGTTGGAAAGGACCTTAAGATCATCAAGTTCCAACCCCCCTGCCTTGGGCAGGAACACCTCGCTCTAAACCATATCACCCAAGGCCTCGTCCAACCTGCCCTTGAACACCACCAGGGATGGAGCATTCACAACCTCCCTGGGCAACCCATTCCAGTGCCTCACCACCCTAACAGGAAAGAATTTCCTCCTTATATCCAATCTAAACTTCCCCTGTTTAAGTTTTAACCCATTACCCCTTGTCCTATCACTACAGTCCCTAATGAAGAGTCCCTCCCCAGCATCACTGTAGGCCCCCTTCAGATACTGGAAGGCTGCTCTGAGGTCTCCACGCAGCCTTCTCTTCTCCAGGCTGAACAGCCCCAACTTTCTCAGCCTATCTTCATATGGGAGGTGCTCCAGTCCCCTGATCATTCTCATGGCCCTCCTCTGGACTTGTTCCAACAGATCCATGTCCTTTTTATGTTGAGGACACCAGAACTGTACACAATACTCCAAGTGAGGTCTCATGAGAGCAGAATAAAGGGGCAGGATCACCTCCTTTGACCTGCTGGTCATGCTCCTTTTGATGCAGCCCAGGATCTTTTGATCTTTTGAAATATCCTATTTCAGTTTTCATGCTGAACTCTTATTCCACTGATTTTCAAGTTGATGGATGGAGGACTTGAAAATGTTAACAATTTCTTTTAATCTATGTTAGAAGCAATTTCATATAAGTGAAGCAAACACAAATACAGTTTCTTTTGATGATGCTATAGACCTTTTTTAGACAGAACAGATGGTTATTGTTTGTCATGTACATTCACAGAGGAGAATGCTGAATTTAGCATTTGTCTAGGTTATGGGACTTTGTTGGATGTTATTTTGGATACCTATAAAATCCTATCATTATTCCATACTTACAACAGCAGGTGAGGGGACGTGAATGCTGGGAACAGATCGGGGACGCACGTGATTAGCTAAATGGCACAGAACAACACCATCAGTGAGAGCTGCTCCAAGATCACTGGGTAACGACACTTTCAACCGTGATTCTATATTCTGCAGAAAGATGAACATGGACACACAAAAAGTAAGAGCTGGTTTCCTCCAGCTGTTTCATTCTACAGAACACTCTGTATGAGGCAGAGTGCTTGCACTACAACTCCGTCTGTCCTCATGACATTTCCAAACGGCTTTCTGAATAACATCAAGGAAAGCTCTGCACACTACTGTGGCCCAGAGCTGACCATAATCTGGGAGCAATTGAGTTCAATGATGAACAGTTTTCATTGTACAGCAGCAGGGACTAACACAACCATTATTCAAAAATAATGGAAATCAGGGTCTAGAAATAGTGTTCCTGATCTTATGTAGTCTCACATAAAGGTTCTGTCAAGGGAAGTGAAAATCACTGTCATTGTGGGCTGGAAGACAACACAGTTAACACAAGTCAAGACAACATTTTTGCCTTTAAATAAAAACCTGAACTACTTGATGTAAACAGTTAGCATTTATGTAAGGGAATGAATACAAATTCTGTTCAGCCATTTAATCTTATTTCAAACATTGTGTGAATTTCACTGAGTTGTTACGCTGTATCTACTTTGTCAAAAAAGATTTAAGCATATCTGGCAAGCAGAACAAGACAGACATTCTGAGATAACAAAGAGGGGCTTTGCAAACAGCACCAAGTTCTGTTTTGCTTTAAGATAACTTTCTTCTTTTAGAGAGATTGTCCTTACTTTAAATGTTACGAAGAGAAAGAATTCTCTCTGTCCATCTGGGATGCTTATAGCCTTAACAAGTAGGAATTCTTATTCCTTGGGAAAGTTACAGAAATTGACATGTCAAGGAATCCCTTCATGCTCTCCAGAAGCAAGTCTGGGGTAAAGCAGAGCAGTACCTTAATGCTATGTGGCATTTTCAATATTTACGTATGTGCAGTGTCACTGTACCTGGGTATAAGCCACAAGTGTGGTGGCCCTGAACAGACAAAAAGCACAAGTATAACGAATATTTGTGCCTCTGATGTTCTGCACTTAACTAAGGATAAAGAATGAATCGAAAGATGGATCCAAAGCATAGAAGGAAACCATACTGTCAGCATGACTGGCAGTAGTCTGCACAGCAACAGCTTTTCTGTGGGATTTACAGCAAAGGGGAGTTTAAAACAGAGATTAAAAGGAAACAGTGAGGTAACTTTCCAGTGAAGTGTGAAGGCTTCACCTTAACAAGTGTGAGGGCTGATAAAGAAGAAAGCAAGCACACATTCATTTTAAAAGCAGAAATCACCAGACACCCAGAAGCAGAAGTCTTTATTTTGCAGAATTTGAAGCTGACTTCATCCACCACAAAAAACATCACTGCATCCATCTGAAAGAACCACTTAAACTGTACACCACCATTTAATTTTGGTCAATTGTGCACCACACTGGTTCAGTGAAACTGATCCAAAACACAATGACAGATTTAACAGGTTGTGCACAATGCATTTACTAAGATGCCCACATACTGGCTCTGGGCAGCACCTACCTTGCGTAGCTGCTCAATTAGCTCCAGCTCCTCCTCTCGCTGTTTGGAGCTCTGCCTTACTCTCGGGTCTGCAGCATCATTAGCAGGAGACAAGGCACAGGCAGAAGATGAAACAACACCTATAAAAGCAGCATGAAGGAAAGAAAAATCACTAAGCATGGTTTGGCTGGTTGTCCTTTACTGCTGTACTATACATGCACACACAAGGTCCCAGAAAGGCTATGGTATATTCTCTTTCACAACCTGTTCTTTCATTTAATTATGAATCAAACTAATGATCTCCTAATCTAAATGAGGCATTCTTTAACACATTTTCCTTGCTGTTTAGATTCTGTTCTTTCTGTTGGGTAACAGTAATTCACAAAGTAGACAGCAAAGTTCTGCTGGATGGAGTATATTGAAACAGTTCAGTCTCTACAGAAATTGCAACTTTATTATGTGCCACTGCACAACGCTAAATTTATCAAGCTGCCTTCATCAGCTGCTGAAGACTCTTGTGGCATTTCCTTGGTATCTCTTGGGTGTAAGCAGAGACCAGGAAGAACAAATCCCCACATTTCTACAAATATGGCAAAAGAATATTTGACAGCTCTAAATAGGAAGTTTCTTATTCAAAAAGTATGTAATACCACATGTCTAGAAAAGAAAGTCAAAAAGTAGTTTCATGGTAATGACCTGAAGTAACAGAACACTACAAAACCTCAGTAAATGCAGATGTTAATACAGGGTAGCAAAGCTAGCTGATTTCTGGGCTATTTAACCTACCTTTCTTTGCTTCATCCCTGACAGCTGCTTGGTAAAGGAAACTCTCTGGTCGAAGGGCAGGGTTTCTATAGGAAGGCGGGGCTGCATGGCCAGGATATGGAGGGGAAAGGTGGACTAAACAAATGGGGAAAAGCACAGGAATGGAGGAAGAAGGAAACAGTTAGAATTTAAATAGGAAATGGGTTCAGCAATGTGGTAATTAAAGGAACAAAACAAAAATTTTAATATAATCATGACAAAATAAATTACAGCCATGCATGGTAAAAGCGCAGAGCAGGAAAAGGCACTTCCAAGGACACTTGCACGCAAAGCACATTCCACATACCAATACCAACAACTGTTCTAGCTGGTGCTGAATGCATCTGCCTTAGGTCTGTATGAGGGCCTAAAGCAGCCAAACCCTACACTATGCCTGAGGACATGCTTCACCCCTGTTGTCTCTTCCCTCGTGTGTTTCTAAGGAGACCCAAATAACTGGGTAAATTCTCTAACAGCAGTGCCACATACAGAGGTAGGGACAAATGCTCCCATCTCTTCATAGTACAAACAAGCGAAGCAGGCATTTTGATCCTTTTTTGGAAATTTTTCTTCCTTTCCCTGTTACCTGTCTGAGTGGTAGGTGAGCCAGGGGAGATGGTGGATCTCTCATCACCCTGTGGATAAAGAGAGCAGAATATAAATGGTTCTAATCTGGAAAAGCTGTGACTACATTTTAATTTTTCTGTGTTTTTAAAAAAGGCTCCATCCATCTAAATTCATTTCAGAAAAAAACCCCAAACCAAAGAATCCCAACAAAACCCAGGAATGTGAAAAACCACAGTACACTGATCCCCAAGTCTCATCTCTGCAGAAAGGGACAAAGTTTTGTCTTATGCAGAAATGAAACATTTGCTTTTTTCTAAGGAAAAAGAATGATGAAACAGTACTGACAACGCAATGATGGATCCTCGTTTACTCTTCCTTCAAACCAAAACTGTCAAAGTATTCTTTGCAAATGGGACACAGAAAAAGAGATCATTAAATAACATGCAAAACTTGCACTACAGCAGCACCGATAAGGACACACTTTTCCCTTTGCTAATGAAAACCTGGTATTTACTTAACATCACTCTCCACAGTGAAACACCCTGTGTTTTGTTACAGTGCCTACGCAGATTGATTTCTTGTGATTAATGCATTCAGTACAGCAGTTTTCACAGAGGAGAAAGAAATACAGTGTGTCTGTATTCTGAAGTAAGCTGGTGTGAAGAATACAAAAAGAGTACTTTTGATGAACTCAACTTAGTCAAGCACAAATAAACCTGTACAGAAAAAGCAACATCAAAGACAACCAAGAACCCCTTGGAGCAGAGACTGGTTACCATGCTTTTATAGCTTACGCCTCCTGTAGACGCAGCCTAAAGCTAAGATGAGGTAATATCTACTACAGTTTAATCAGATAAATCGGATTCATACCCTACCTGAACTTTTGATTAGAAGCTGATAGACTAACACCTGCTAAAACAGATGTGTGGATCCAAGGGTTTTTTGTTGGTGAATGATAATAGCAAGAGATACCTTGACAGGACTGAAGGTAGAGGCATTAGGCAGAGTAGTAGCATGGCTTTCTTGATTCAACCCTGAAAGTGACTGAATGCAGAAAGGAAGAGAAGGCAGTAGGAGTGTTAGCAAATGGCTGATAGGTCACACACACAGGTGGAATGCAGTAGGCAAGGTAAAAAACAAGAGATGAGCGTGATCACATTCTCAGAAACACTCAACAGGCAACAAATACGTACTTGCTGAACTGCAGTTAAAGCCTTCCTATCCTCCTGAACTTTTTGGCTTGTAAGCTTGGGAGATGTGATGTTTCTTTTACACACCAGACAGTAACATCAAAACCAGTATAGTAGAACAGTGAGTTACTAAGAACAGTGAGGCAAAAGCTTCTTTAATAACAGCTAATCTATCCCCTATGCCCTCAGCCAAAAGGAAATTTTACCCTAAACAGTTCATTCTGAGCCGCTATTCAGAATAAAGCTTTTTTTTTTCTCAATATTTAAAGTATGTTGTGCATTTTTAGTTAGTTATTTTCCTGTCAACTTGGTGAAAATCAGAGAAACCCACGTCTCACCAGTTTAGGAATACACACTTTGGGTCTGCCACAAACAATGCTGATCCTTGTGAACTACACACAAAGTAAGTAAGATTCCATGAGTGGAATTTAGGTCTCAGGGAAGGTATCAGCGTGAAGATTCACAGTGCTGCCACAAACAAAGCACAGTCAGATTTCAATTACAGACAATCTTAAACCCAACCAAATGGACAACTTCTCATGTTTATGGAACAGGAGCTCCAGCATCCCAATCTATCACTGACAGATAGGCCTAGAAGGCCAAATTCCATGCCTTATTGAAAGCACAATCAAAACATTTGAGGACTGAATGGCTCAAGAATGAAACTATACTTTCTGAAACAGCATTCAAATAGGAAAGTGGCAGTTCAGCACATGAGAAGAACACCAAATGACACCTAGAGACTCTACGGATGTGAACGACACACTTGAGAGCGTTAGTATTTGAAATGATTTGCAACTACTCTGCCACTTCAGAACTGTACAGCCAGGAAGGACTAGGAGGAGAGGTTATGCTCAGGGCAAGCCTTACATACAAACATCTTCAGGCCTTATGCAGACTTAACAGCTGATTCTCAGGACAGACTCTCTCCACAGCAGCGCAGAGCAAAAATCTTGTTTGGTTATTTATATTTTTTTTTGGTAAGAATTTCAAAATATCACTTGACTTAAGCAAAACATCAGCTATTACATAAGAACAGTAAAATAAAACAGAAGTAGGTGGTCTGTAACATTAACATAACTGTTTATTCCTATATGAAAAGACCAAGACAACCTTGGTGCAGACTAACAAGAACTCATCACAAATCCATGTACCCAGCAGCAGGGGAAGGGAAGGGGAAAACAGCACACAACAGGGTAGGACAATCACAACAGCAACACACTGCATGCTCTTCACCTGTTTGTGAGTCCCTGGCCTTCTTTTAATGGTATTGGTGTTACTGTCAATCTCAAATACAAAGAAAGGCTCAAAGCCATTCTGCCAGGGCCAGCAAGGAAAGAAAGAGAGGAAAGAAAGGAGGAAGTGAGGCAAAGAACAACTGTAAGAAAAGGCAGCTGCAATATGAAAGGAACCAGGGTGATGGAATTCAGACTTACAACACCTTACTGCACATGCCACACTTGGCCTCTAGGTCTAGCACTGAAGTCAGAGAAATCACCGTGCCAGAAACAACTGTAGATACAGGGACTGTCAAAGCAGAGCCCAACCAGAACTCTGCTCAAACCAAGCAAGGATATTTTAAGAGAATTTGATTATTAAAGTTCTGAAAACACAAATAGATGCCAATGGTCTAAGTGAAAATTCCAGGGTAGAAGTTACCATAACTCAAGTCCTGCTTACTTTACCCATACCATTATTATTTGTAACACACTGGTGCCTAAAAGCCTTAAAGTGTTAAAAGTGTTTCAGAAATCCCATGTGCTAACAGTAACATGATGGCCTCAGGCAATGTTTGAGACCACAACAAGAAAACAGAGCACAAGGCAGCAATGACACAAAGGTTATGAAAGGAAGAGGTCACACCAGCTGCCTGATGCTTATCAAGTATGTCACAGGCTTCACAACAGAGAAATTGTGCATCAGTTTGAGAGGATGTTTGGGGCTATTTTTCCTTCCACAGCATTCACCTTGTAAGAGACAGTATGGGAGGAAACAAGGTATCTGGGGAAAAATGAGATCCATACGCAATCAAAGCTGAAATCACTAGCCAAGTCTGAAGCCTTTATACTATCTCAACAAGTAATCTCAATTGTAACGAATAGGACTACCCTTGTGAACAGCAGCCAGGACAGGATTAATACAAAACTTTGAGGTATACAGCACCAGAGAACAGTGATTACATTTCTTCAGCAACTTTTTAGTTAGTCTGGCTATCACCAGTCAACAAAAAGAAAGCACCTGCAGTGTGCAATGAACTACTACGGCCAAACTCCCCTTCTAACCACAGGTATGTAGAACAAACACACAACCCAACTATTAACACTCATAGAAAAGTATGGGTAGTTTTTTGTGAGTTCAGACTGTCCTGAAAATGTTTACACACGGAAACAATCAGAGCAACCTGTGCAATGTGAATACATTTTAATTTCATTAGTGATGAAAGACAACAAAGAGAAGAAACACGATGTAAGATTTAAAAAAAGGAAATTCACAACTTAAATTTTGGTTGTAGGAAAATTTTTTGCTAAAGCAGTAATAAAACCAGAAGACAGAAGAGGTAAAATAAAAGCTCACTTGCATTCTAACTCCGTATTAGAATACTGCTTTTTTAATCTTTTCCTTACATCTGAGCCGAAAACATTGTTTGGAGGAAAAGAAAAGCAACTGCTCAGTTTGGAGAGCTCTGATGTAACAAGGAAAATGCTGAACAAAAGATCTTTCACTGTACTTCTGTGTAATATTCTCTCCTTCTGCCATGAAGTGTTATTCCCACACTACAAAGCAAGAACAACCAGTGGAAAAACCAGCAGAACTCTTTTTTTTTTTTTAATTACCCTATCTGCAATTTGCGATGTCCTAATGTTTGGTAAAGTTCACACTGTTGCATGCAGTCTTTATGGAGAGAAAGAAAAAGACAGAGAGGAAACTATATAAATGAAAAATGGGTACTGAAAACTGCCATTAGCGAACAGAACTTTGATATCAAATACTTTGGTGGAGGCAAAACCCATCCTCAGAAATTAGACCCAGCTAAATTTCAAATCCGTAAGGGCAGGGAGAAAGTCAAATGAAATACAACAGAACAGAAAAAAGCAGAAGTAATTTCAACTCTTATGACAGACTGTTTGCTTTTTTTTTCCCTAAAGCAATCTAATGAACATTTCCTTGGTTTTGAACAGGTTTTTACCATGCAGAATACATTTGTCGAAACAAAACTGCTACAAATTCATGAGCTCGCATGGGCTTAATGTTCCAGTTTATAATAATTGCCAGAAACAGCTGCCCTGGCATATGTCATCATTAGACACACTGTGTATTTATTTCCTCTGCAAAATAGAGCTGCAGATCATACTTCAGCAGTTTAGAAAACTGAGTATTTCATATACTATTACAGTTCAGTGCTGCTGAAAAGAGCAAGGAATCAAAAGAAAAAAATGAACAGAGAAATGACTGCTTGGGTATCTGGTTCAATCTTTCCCTACCAGCCTGGCCACTTTTCTGTGAAGTGCAAGGATGTAACTTGGTTAAAATACAAAAGAAACGAACAGCAACGGAAGACAATCTCAAATTAATTTCTGAAAAGTCCAATATGTAAAATTCTACATATTAATTTACAACAAAAGTCATGGAGTCACACAATCAAATAGTCCCTAAATGTATCTTTAAAATACATTCCAAAGGTTAATTCACTGACAACAGATTCTTAACACTTAAACCAGACCACTGCTATTCTTCTGTTTCTTATTATCTAAATATGAAAGCACATTTTTATATGCTAATTGACTGTGATTTCTCTCAACAGGCACATGCATGATCACTACATCTCTCTCTAATATTACAAGCTTGCTTTCTTTCCCACACAGTGCTGATTGTTTGAAAGCAGGAAAACAACAATGTCTGAATAAAGAGATAGTAAATAAATTAAGCAATGTGTTCTAGAGAAAGATACTCTAACTGAAACCACTGCCTAAAGAAAATTTAGGCTGATAATGGAAGCACATGAATGAAGAAAACAAATCCCAGGCATGCAGTCATGCAACAGCAGGCAAATCAGGTGTATTTTTCTTTTATAGACATGAATTATGGCATTAATTGTATTCTTTATTATGCTACATTGCTAAGATGCCATAAAGGGAGAAATAGCATAAAACATGAATTAGGTAAATAAAGGCTTTTATTTTTGCTAAGTGTTCATAATAGATTATTTTTAAGACATCTCAATCAATAAACATTAAAAAGGTATGGGGAATATTTCATGATTTGTAGCATATGTAAAGCAGTTTTTCCTTGCCAAGATACTCAGTATTTCTAACCACAGTGTGTAGGATGCAAACAAGTTAAAGTAGAAGGCTGTGCCTGAAGCATTAAAATTGCTTACTTGATACTGCAGAGCACATCAATGGGGAAGCAAGCTGAACGGAGAAGAAATCAAACCAGAACGACTAGAGGTTAATTTTTAATTGCAGAAGCTGTTCTTTATTACTGTTCTATCAGTAATTTTCTTCTGCTGTCAGCAAAAGATAAGTTTTAATTATTTTGTGGGAAAACATCGCTATATTACTAACAAATGGCTGTCAGTACAAGTATCAATATAATATTAAAGTTCATAGCTACTTTTCGAAGAAGATGGTCATGTTTTATGCTATTTAGATTAGCTCTAAAATAGTTCGTCTGAGAAAATCGTAACATGTTGTTATTTCTATGCTCTAGAATCTGACACATAAAAAGGCCATTACGTGCAGGATCTTACCACTAACAAGGCACTATCATCAGTATGCTGAGACCTTCTGGATGGAAAAGGACACTGGGAGTTGGGAGAGATGGAGTAATGTCAGAAACACACAGAATGTCAGAAACACATGGTATGTGAACAGACAGACATTTTGGAACATGTACTGCTTCTTTATAGCATTGTGAGGCTTTTTTAAAATTCATAAAGTATATGTAACTCTGCAGTAATAATACAGCCACATAACCCAGGAATTACAGTGTATTCGTATTACTTAAGGAATCAATTACTCTGCTTTCTATGTTGTCTCAAGTAAATATAGCTAATATGTATTCACAGTTCTTACTGTGGTAGAACAAAGGACCCTTTAAAAGAATAAATTAAGAACAGAAGAACATTAAGAAGGCAAAGGAGCAAAAACTATTTCAATTACCCCATGTTTCGGTAATTTTCTAACAAAAAAGTTAGTTGGAAAATGCTGCTGAAGAAGTATTTCTACTCATTATATTATTAAAAGTTTTGATCTGATTAACACTGCCAAGTGAATTACTGTCCTCTGGAGGAAAGTGGGAATGGCAAGCAGTGGAACATGTAGAAAGCTGATGGAGAGAGTGAACAGATGTTATTGGCTCAGCTCTAGAAGACTGAGCCTTGTATGATTTGTGTTCCCCACTGACTTACTGGTTTTGATTATGAAACTACTCAAGAATAAAACTTTTAAAAAATTTATTTATTCTTCTGATAGCCCTCAAAATTCTAATGCTTAAACTTTTTGGCATAACTGTTGATCTAATGGCAGGAAACCGGGAGAAAACTGATCAATGAAGGATGACTACAACACAGTAACTTGTCTCAATACTCCCGTTAGAAAGTAAACTCTAGGGCTTGCAAGGAGCAGCTTAAAATGAAATATGAAATGTGACATAGAAAACATGCAAGAAACAATAAAACAACACACTTGCACAGGCATTTACATGAACAAAAGCAAATACTAGGATGGTCCCATAAGCAAAAAAACCCCATTCCAAGGATTAACATGAAGTGTTAAAAGGACTGCTATAACCCAGTCCTGAAGAGTTCTCCATCATCAGAAAAATACCTCTGATGGAGAGCGCTAAGAATTGAGGTGCTGACGTCCCTTGTAATACTCCTATTGGACTCTTACCTCACTATCCAGGGGACTTTGCTTCTGAGGACTTAAGGATGCCTTTTGCTATAGAGAAAAAGGAAAACTGAATGACAATTTAAAAGAATGCGACAGAGAAACAAAAGCTCAGAACAAAACAGTGTAATTTAGAAGTGTTTTAAAAAACAAGTCTTAGTCTTTAAATGAAACATGCACGTTGCCACTGAGCTGAAGCTTCACTGATGCCATCAGTAAAAAACAGCCTTTATTCCATGTGAAAACAAACAAAATTAAAGTTGCTTTTGCATATTAAAGATGTATAATAAATCCAAAACACAACCCAAGGGAGGAATTTAACTGCTGGGAATAAAGTGCTCATGCATAACAAAGACAACAGAAGAAAAAAACCTAACCAGAACCAAAAACCCCCAAAGGCTCATCAATGAACAAAATGCATCCTAAACATTTAATGTCTTTAACTGAAAGCCTGAGCTGCATCTTTAATAAAGACAGCTTTTCTAAAAACCATTGCCAGAGGCCTGAGCTTAGCTGGTGTTAATGAAAAGCCTACTTTCCGACAGCTAAAACCTTTTTCTAAACTAAACTTACACATTACAAAAATGCAGTAAAACATTTTTTTCCTCTCTGCAGACCACCCTAAGCCCAAAATACTAGATTTGTAATAGCAAGATTTGGGTAGGTCACCAGACCAGTGAACAGTAAAATTAATGTAACTAACATATAAAGAAATACGCATGTTGAGCAGCAGACTACTTCATACTGGCTACAGTGAAAGAGAATGCAAAGATGCAGCATCCATGGAGGATCTGAGGTACCATAAATCTGCACCTGTGCTTTACCTGGAAGTAACTAACTTACACACCATAAAGCACCAAAATAGATCATCCAACGTCAACTTGTGTGTATGATCCCTTTCTTTCTGCCAAATTTGTCTTCAAAATTAAATGGCCTCCATGCCTTCTCCAATAAAGACCCCTTCTTTCTTTTACCAACCCTGTCACTTCTATACGAATGAAAAATTGAGAGAATGAGGTGGACAATGTAAAAATACAGCTCTTTGCAAAAACCGTATGTGGGCAGATCTCTTCTGTCTTCCTCTCCAGTTCTAGTTTTGTCTATGTTAAGCTACACCACCAACACTAAATGGACTTAAGCACTGTTTCTCCGTTTTCTTTATAAATGGCATGCATGCCCAAGAGTAATGTACAAGTATTATGATCTTGGCAATTAATTTTCATTCAGGGATTCGGAAACGATAAAGTATCAAGTAGGTACTAAAAGGAGGTACCTTAACAAAGTCAAGGACAGCTTCTCTCTGAATCTGTTTTGTTCTCATCCTCTCCTCCTCATACTGAAGCGCCGCCAGCTGAGCCTCCCGACGGGTACGCTCTACGTGCCTGCGGTGCAGCTCGGGATCTGTGTTAGGCACCTGGAACAAAACCGTGCATCATGCTGTAAAGACAGAGCTACATAGGGTAAAACAGATGGAGAAACAGTCCATATCTTATGGCTAACATGAGTTTGGTTTTGCACCAAACTAATCCAAAAGAATAAAATAGTACGTAGAGTTCAATGTGTTACCTGACTGTGGTGACTTGATAGAAAGTAAGGCGAATCAGCTGGGGGTCTGACAAATGGAAAAACAGAGTAAGTATAACTTTAAATCTAAACAAATTTTCATACATGAGTTGTCAGCGACACACAAGTATCTCATCAAATCAGAAGAGTAACAGTTTAGTAAGCAAAGCTGTTAAACCAACTGCTGTGATAACAATTTAACTCACTGTGCATGACAGATTTTGAGCAGTCATTTCTAGCTCTCCTCCAGAATTTTTCTACAGCTAAAGATGTACCAATTGGATTGTACATTTGGCCTATTACACAGAGATATTCAGTACTTCATACTGATTATCTACGAGCTGATTAAGTAACCAATCCAGGACCTTTTCACAGAATCCTTGTTTAGAGGACCACCTGGCTACTGCAGTTATTGGGGGGAGAGGGGTGTATGTGTGGAATAAAATTAGTCAGTAGAAACTATATGTTGCTTTTCCCTACCTCTCTGTCCTGTCCCCATGACTCCTTAGTACTTGGTGATGCTCTCTGTCCTGCATCAAATTTAGAGTTTCCGGTCTTTGTGATTTATCAGTATCCCTGCAGGTAAGCACCGGTGGAAGGGGGATCAGCCACTAATGCTTATAAACTATCAGATTAATTCCTCTCTAGATTACATCTTTCCAAATAGATTTTCTAGATTACAATTTTTCCAAGAGTAATGGCCTAGACAATTAGCTTCAGGTAACAACAAAGCTGAGGCTGACTAAAGAAATCATGTTGTTATATGTAGTCAGATCACAGCTACCGCAGCTCATAATTAAATAAACACACCTTGCTTAATTAACAGTGATTTCAAAATACACAAAGATAGAATCTCTCTTTTAAGACTATATTCTGGTTATTGTAGGCCTTTTTGTGTTCTGAAAATAACAGTTTTAAATATTAGGACCCTCTGGTATTTTCAGAACCTGCTCACTTTACCAATCAAGTAATGACTTCCTAAGTGTGAATCAACCCATCAAAGTCACAAGGTAAACAATAACTGATCTGTGTCTTATCCATCATATCAACAATAAAAGAAAACTTGCAGTCAGTTTTTTACTAGAAGGCAGTTGCTAGCACTGCAACAATTCCCAAGGCTCACAGTCTACAGCACATTCCCTCATGTTGCTGCCTAGAAAGTTGATGGAAATGTAGTAGCTTAGTCTTGACAGCCTCAACACTGCAACCTTCACTCCTGGGGCAACTGTGGAACAGAGACACATTTGCCAATTTCCAAAAAATGGCAGTCCTCCAGCCTGTGCATAGACTTGTTACCTATTCTGCATAGAGAATCTTAAGAGATGTGGAAGACCCATATGCTACAGGTCTCCTCTGTTACTTAAATTAGCACTGATTCACATGACGAATCCATTAACTGTGCTGTTTCAAATGGATGGGACTGGATTCAACTGAGTGCCAAGAAACGTATTCAGAGCAGAGTACACAGAGCTTTGTTGCATCAGGAATGCACCACAGTCTGTCCAGAGACACAAACTGTAGTTACTGAGTTGAATAAACTAATGTAAGTACTCTTGAGATAGAGTCTGCCTTACATCCAACTCTAAGAGTTTTAATGGCTCCAGCATGCTGAAGGGAAAACAAAGAGGCTGCCTGCCAAGGCATTTGTACAGAATTACTGTGGAAGCAGTTTACAGCTTGTGGTGGCCACAAATGAAATATTTGTCTAATACAAGCTTAAAATACAAAAAAATTACTCATTGTCATAAGGCTGTTTTTACACAGTTTTGAAGGCATTAACAGTATGACCTGGTTTTAGTCCCTCGTTAAGAATTTCACTCTGCTGCAGCATAATATGAATAAACTACAGTTCATCTAGATCGTAGATTAACTGCTTCTGCATGAAGATCTGCTGCCATCCTTAAGTTAAATTTTGAAAACACCGGATACCATCCTGAAACACAATTTCCTTTATCTTTAAAATGTCTATGTAAACAGCAGCTCTCTCCTAGCTAATGAGCCTTCTTTTACTTCCTTCAGGTGCATCACAGAATCCAGTGTTTGTAAAATCTAAATATTTCCATGTTGACCACAAATGTACAAATAGGAAAGTAAATATATAAACAAGCAACAAAATCAGTCTTTCAAACCAAGAGCACTCACTTTATTTGGGGAGGACATATCAGACTGCTGTATTATTTTATGCCTTACCTGTAGACACTACAGGATAAGGAATGCTGATATATGCTGAAGGAGTTACCCTCCTTTAAATCAATACAGCTACCTTACCTGCACATCTGCTGACATTTCAAAATGCTTATTAAAATGTTGCCATGACTCTGGAAAAATGCACACCCTATTCTTGATTTCATTTTCTCTTTCAATGCCATTTTAGTATGCCATTAAAAATTAATTTCCACTGACAGCATAAGTAATGACATAATTATAGCTAGCAGTTCTTAACGTTCGTGGTACAACTGAGCTGGCGTTCTGCTGTGTCCTTGCACATTCACATTCACCCCACAGAATACTGAAATATGAAGGGTTCCAACAGTTTTTATTCAAGCTCCATTAGCAAGAAGCTGAACATTTGCTTATCTTCTGTTCTCTTAGCTAGACACCCAAATGTCTTTTCTCAAACCAAATCACCTCATTTATATTCTGTTCAACTCTGACCAGTTTTTACAGATAAGCGTTCCCTCCAATCAGCCAATAGTCATTAGAGTATGAACATCATTCAAAAAGTCTGCTTTATTAAACTAAGCAACCTGTTTTCAGCATTGACTCCCATCCTATCCCTTCTTCCCCTGATGTAAGCTCATGATTGTGACACATAAAAGCACATTTTAAATTAAACTAAAACCTACAGTACTATAGCTACCAAAAGTCAACCAGATAGCACACTGGATGCTCCATAGTTACTCTCTTTGTGCTTCCTCTAAACCTGCAATACAAATTCGTTCATCCCTTCTGTCCTTTATATAACATAGTCAGCTATTTAATCAAAGTCAGCTATTTAACTGAAGCACAAATTAGATCATGAAATGCAGATATTAAATCAGTTTAAAAGTATACACTTTAATATGCAGACTTCTTTAACCAATTGATTCAAAGCTGAGCACTGGTCTAGAACAGCTGTGCCTTTTGGTCACTGCCATTATTAGAATACAAATTCCTAATCTGGAGCAATAATTTACAAGTCAAGTGCAATGCATGCTTCTGGTGAAGCATCAGAGAACAGTGCCATTTTTAAAACACGTTCAGTAAATATGCACTCTGCATTCATCACAAAACTCTGAATAGAATTACTGTTACCACATATTCTTACCTGTTTTGATGTAAGTATCGTCTTGTATCCTCTGTTCTCTGAAATTCTCTGATGGATACAGGCTTTACTGGTGAGCCCTAAGCAAAATAACAAAGACTAAGTTAGCAAGTTGTTCAGAAAAGTGTACATTAATGTCAAAGAAACTTTGTAGAGCAATATCTGTAATTACTTGTGTTCAAAATACTTGACAAAGAACCACAAATCACAACTCAGGGATGTTCATTTCCAGCTAGGCAAGCTCACTTTTACTTTTTCCTCCAATTTAAATGATTTTAAATAAATTCAAGAGTTTATAAACCTCCATTATTAAGAATCGTGAAGAAAAGTACATGTAGGTAGAAAATAATTCATGTCACTTAGAAGAAATGTAGTGTTAAGCTCGAAAAACATATATCCCAGTGTACAGCAATGCAGTCTGGATTCTCAGAAATACAGGATACAATAGCTGATGTTCTTTTATGATGCCCCAAAGACACATCACAGAGGGACTAAGAAAGCAAAACATGGGAATAGTGAGAACACATCAGGCTTAACCTGAGCTATAAAATCATTTAACCCATTGGGAATTTTATTTTAAAACTTCTGCTGATACCCATTAATGTAGGAAAATGGAAACTCTTCAACATTAGCTTGCCAATTTCCAGTCATGCCTCCTGTATGCATGTTGTTATATAGCATACAGCTTGTTTTTGTAAGTAGTATTTTGGATTGTCTAAGAGAAACTACTTCAGTTAAAAGAAAACAATTAAATTTTTATGAAAAAATATGAACAGCTTTTTGATATTAACAATGCCTTTTCTCCATCCACAGCAAGGAGTCCTTGGGTTGCATTGCCAACGGCTGCTTTTTCTGAGTTTTGCTTTTAAGTCTATGCTTCAAATGACATCAGCTTTTGTGATCTTATACTGGATTTATGAGATTTGCAAAGTGAATGCACCTCTCATATCTCTGTCACCAATTCTGAACACAGCAAACAGTAATATAAAGTGGGCAAACTGGGGACCAGACTCCTACATGAATGCTGAAAATGTGTTCCTATTGGTTAGATTTCTGAGGACAGTCTCCAGAAATGTACCATCCAAATGACTTACAGGGAACAGTTTTCTCTATGTATTTCACAGCAGGGGCTGCTACAACTAGAACGAAGGCACTTCCCAGTTTTGGCAATTCATACAATTTTAAAGCAATTCCAGTGAATTTCATTATAGTGTGCACCAATTCTTGTGCAGCTAAAAAGCAGTAAAAGACATGAGCTAAAGAAACCTTACTGGAATCATTGCCCTTGCCTGTGCCAGGACATCATTTGGATAGAGTAAGCAATCAATAAAACCAGCTGCTATTAGGATAGTATATGCTAAGTTTGCCCTTTTTTAAGAATTACTATTATTATTAGTTGTGGGTTTTTTCCTGTGAGAGAAAGCAGGGCAGTGTTCAGAGTTGCTCACAGATGTTTCTAGACATTTCTAAAAAGCTAGCTGGAGAACTTTCAAACCTGTCCAGCAATAATTTTACTTACTGCTTATTCACCTGTATACTTTCACTGACTGAAAACAGTTTTGTGCCAGGTTTATCTAAACCTACAGATGTTGGTTTTTGTTTAGAAAGGCGACCATACACGTAACCAAATTCGCATCTGTGGTTCAGAGCTTTCCTCAATAGTAAAGTGAGAAAGAAATCTTTTTCTGCAAAGAACAGGCTTTCTGAAAAGTCTGAATATTTAAGTTAGTCTAAACTTAAACTGGATGCTCAAGACACTGAGTTCACTGGCAAGTAACTTACAATCAACTTGAACAGACAAATTAATGGAGTTGCAAAATTCCTGTATTAAATGTTTATGCTGGTAACAAGCAGCATTTTCCCCCTGAGAAAGCCAGTATATATTCAGTACTACAAAGTAAATGTTCACAGTTTTCTAGATCTCATAAATTACCATCTGAAAGCATCAACCTGCATGTTTTTTGAAGACAGCACTCCTTTGTAAAAAACACTTACTTCACATATGCCTAAAGCGTAAGTTTGCAAGAAGCAAGCCTAGTGGAAGGTGTCACTGCCCACGGCAGGAGGGATGGAACTAGATGATCTTTAAGGACCCTATCAACCCAAACCATTCTATGATTCCATGAATCCACATGACAGAAAAACAGTATGGCTGCATTGGACTTATTCCACATATCTCAAAAGGCACTTGGGAGCAGCTTAAAACTCCAGCTCTGACCTTCCACAAAGTCCAACACTGTGCTCTTCCTCCAGAGCAGACCAGATTTTATTACTTAAATAAATAAAAGCAAACAAACAAACAACCTTAAGAAAACCTCTGAGGACAAGAAGCGTTAATACCATCACAGAGGCTTTCCTGGGGCATATAAATTTAACTAATTTAAGTAAAAGCACCACCTCATTAGAGATTCGCCGCTGGTCAATATATGCCATGAATTGTGAGCTGAGGCTGTCTGGGTCCATGCACTTGGGTTGCCTCACCTCTTCCTCCTCCTCTTCTGTGGCACAGCTGTCAATATAGTCGATCTGATCGAGATCATGTTCCACTTGACATACATACACAAAGAAAACACCCACAATTAGATAAGCAACAGGATAGGGGAAAAATACCAACAAAAAAGCAATGCCAGGAACTGAGGCCCTACCGTTTTTCTTCTGTCTGGGAAAACTCAGCCTAGAAGCTCCTGGACTTTGCCAAGTCCACTAACATTTGCTAAACATAAAATTTTGAAATAATGAGAAAATTTATGCTTCGTAAAGAGCCATGAGAAACATGTATCAAGCATGTAGTTTTATGGCAGCGGATACTTTCGCAGTGACTGAAGAAGTAAAGTAGTGATTTTTTTTCAATACCCAAAACTATCTATCAGAATCTGTCAGCTAACACCAAGACTGTACAATGATTTGTGTACACTTCGAGTCATTTCTCGTGGTTCTAATTCATCACTGTCACAGAAGTGAGAATGGATATGACATACTTCTACTAATTTTACTATAACAACGAGAACACAGAAGGCAGAGTGTCTGTTACCTAGATACAAATCCACTAAACATAAGAACTATGTGTGGAAATAACAAAGGACAACACAGAAAGCAACAAAATCCTTATAAACCAACATAAAATCATCTACTGTTTTATTTTAAAAGGAGGAATGGAAAAGGGATTAGGAGCCACTGAAATGAGAGCAAGAAACAGCACAGCTTGGCTAGTATTGATTTTCCCTTGTGTGGGTGATACTATGTAGGGCAATGTTTTCACTTGTCACTGCTTTCATACATTCTGCCCAGGGATCCTGGGAGTACTGACATTGAGCAAAATACCCTGGTGAAAAATACTGTGCTGGGGATGCAGCACAAGGCATGAGCTCCCTTTCTGAGCACTGGAGGTTTCTTTCTCTTAAAACTCTCCCCAAACTTGCTCCAAACTCTGTTGTGCACATTCTTTTTCTACTCCCCCGCCCCTTTCCTGCTTGTCTAAAACAGACTTCTCTTTGCCTCACCACACAATCTAGCAACTGTTATTGCCAAAGCCACCTCCTCTGCTACTACAACCCTCCAGAACAGCATTCCTATATACTTTGGCTTCATTAAGTCTCCATCACAGTTTCAAATCTTAAAAAAATACCCATCAAATAAACCAAAACAAAAAGCCCTTTCCAGCCTTGCTTATTCAACTTAAATAATTATAACACTACAGTAAAAGGTGAAAGACACTAGTGTCTGTGTTAGAAACACAGAATTGGAAAGCACCTCCTGGATCATTGACAGCTATGTGCTATGGCTTGTGCCCCTCTCAAGTAACTCCTAATCATGAACTGACCCTGCTCCATCTTAAAAGACTAGTGAGATATTTTGAAATCCCTGGTGTACAAAACTCTAAAGAACAAAATTAAGTTAGTCTTGGAGGCAAAGCAGGCAGTACTACCTGCTGTTAAGGCTGCCCAGAGCTTCTCATGGTGCCATGTCTTCAGTTCTTCTAACTTTGACAGAATCTAAGTGTTTGAATTGATATTTATTGTCTATCATCATGTGAAAGAGTGTGAGTCAACCAAAATAATGCAGGTATTTCTAGCAGATGGCAAAACCCCGAAGTACTGTGGAGAGGAGTAAGACCAAGAAAAGAAGATGGCAAAAGACAATGAGGAGGAGGAAAGAAGAGAGAAGAAAAAGTGGGAGTTGGGCACAGAAGATTAAAAGTAGTTGGGAAGAGTGCCACTCATATAGGGAATATTAACTGTAACCATTAGGGGAAATGGAAAGCAGGGAGCAGCTAAGAAAGAAATAAAATTAATCAAGATATATGGGATGAGATCTAACAATAAGTAGTGCAAGAAAATAGAGAAGATGGAATGACTGGGAACAACCCTCCCCCTCCCCCCCCAAAAAAAAAAACAACAACCAACCAAACACCAAAATCTGGAAGAATCCTAAAACTGAGACATAATCAAAACAAGACAGTGGTAGCAGCAGATTATTGGAAGTTAAAATGGAGAAGGACTCCAGAGATCAAGAAACATGTAAAGTGCTGTCACCTCTTCAACAAATATGAGTGTGCTACTGTAAGACTGCAGAGCAACCAATTGAGAAGGTGCAAAAAAGCAGCATCGCTAAGAAATACCAGTCCCTCACAGATGCCTTGTGTGTTTGGATTAAAACCTGAGACTGCTGAATGAGGCACTTTTGCTACTTGGAAATTTGACATTCCCTGACAAAATTGCTTACCCCCTTCTGACAGCAGTCAGCACGAAGCACTGACAATTTACTCCTGCTGTAAATTGTCCCCAGCAGCTCAAGCAGCAAAACTCCATTCCAAAACACTGTCCGAAGCAACTGGAGACTTTACACAGCACGTAAGCAGAAACTGACACAATCCTAATTCTGATTCTATTTGATTTTGCCTCATAGCAACCTTAATATAAGTGTTTTTCTGGTTACACAGCAGTGGTTGTATACAATTACACCTGGGTTTTTTTAATTTTTTTCCTCTTTAGAAAACCTACTATTTATAGCAAATATCCTGGAGCTTTCATAAAGATGATAATAAATAGTGTTAACCAAGATCACTATTTACCTCCACCATTAGTTACAACTGTGCTCCCTCGGTTTTCTTGATACTGACTTTCTCTTCGCAGCCTCTGTTCTTTAGTGATCTCTGCCACGCGCAAAGGGAGATCCGAGAATTCATCTGTTGGCTTCAGAAAACAAACAGTGAAGTCAAGAAACACTTTTCTTCAGAAACATCATCTTGCAACTGTTACTTCTCGGTTTGTGTTTTTACTTCAACTGTCCTGAATGGCACCTACAAAATACAGCTCTAGTGCAAGGGTTTTTTTAAACACATATTTAAATTTTCTTGAAAAACTCCAAACAAACAAAAAGAAACCAAACAACCCCTCTCCCCAAAACGCCCCAAAAATCCCAACCAAAATTTAAAAACCCCACCAAAACCACCACCAACAAAACAAAAAACAAACAAACAAAAAAGCCAAACCCCCAAAACAACCCCCAAAACAAAAAATACAAACAACTTGCCTATGGAGTTGTGCGTTTTTTTGTTTGGGTTTTTTGTTTGTTTGTTTGTGGTTTGGGTTTTTTTGTATCTGTGTTTGAAAACATTCCAGGATGGAAACTCCTAGAACCCTCTCAAAAACCAAGCTAGGAGCGCAAGCAGGTGTACAGAGTATATCTCACTGAAGCTCTTAAGGTCTTCGCTACTGCCTTTTCTAGTTGTCCCAGGAGAAAAAGGGAGCTTTTCTCTGGGAAAAGTAATGGACACCTTGCTAAGAGACTCCATTTTCCTGCTTCTAAATGGCAAACAGATTTTAACATTTGAAACAAGCTTCAAAGAAACAAGAAAAAATCTCCATCTGATTTTGGAAGCCTAATTTTCATGTTCAGATTTATTTTATTGAAACAACTCCTCATAAGTAATTGCAGTTGACTCAGCACTGTAATATGATACAGTTATGAGCTTTTTTAAAATGAAGCCTCCCATTTTTCTCATGTTTTTTACCCCAGTAAATTAATCTGTCATGCAGTGTTTTATACATTTCTCTTATTATTTCCAAGTTTGTGTTTGCCCCATATAAAATTACACTTGGTTTTCTCCAATAAAACAACAAATATTTTTGGCTCAAGGGCACCTGCACACTAGCATATACGCTACATATTGAATATGCTTCCAAATGTATACTTAACAGTTTTCTTTCCTACACAATACTGCACCAGACAAAAATAAAGCTGCAACTTACTTCATTCCCTGACCATCTTTTGTCTCCGCTGTCCACACTATTGAAGCCAGAATCAAGTGCTCCATATGGACGACCGGAATAGAGTTCCTCATGGCTGTTAAACACACAGTTTTGGTTACTGTAATATAAACACCACTAAAAACTCAGCTACTGCAGAACCAAAGCAGAATGAGCTACGAAGCAGTTGCAGCGTGTTCAGAAGCTCAGCATATTAGAAAGTATCATAGTGCATTTGCCACTTAGAACAAGAGGGCACGTACTCACAGCTGCAAACTTGTCCACCTGCCACTGCCTAGTGTTTTAAGAGCTAATCTGATCCAAGAGATCCATACTTTAAACATTTCCCAAGCAGAAATTATGACAAAGAAAACTGCAAAGTGGCATCTTATTTCACTTATTTAACAACTCAAGCTTTCATTTTCTCATGCTTTCACTGATAAAACATTGTCCCACAAACTTTTTCAAAAGTATAAATTACTAAAAATTAAATTACATGCAAAATAACTAAAAATTCAGAACATACTACTTCTACACAGAAGTGCACAGAATGTATTACATAATTATCTCCTGTATCTTAATAACTGATCTAAGAAACTGTACCAATCTCAACAGTATTTCAAACGCTTTGTAATATAATATAGAAGTGCAGTTTTCATCTACAGAGCCTGACTTTGACTAGACAAAGGCATCAGACATGTGTCTAGTGTAACAATACACACAACCAAACAGCCATGCAGTTCTCAACTTCTGGGCTTAGAAACTACGTAATTCAGCAGTACACCCATCACAGATGTCAAGTCTGGCAACTGCTGCAGATAGCTACAGTAAAAGAAACAATGGGACTTGTCTGATCCACTGCAGATGGCATTTCACAATGGCTCAACTGTCCTACTGGCACTGGATGCCTCAGGGAGAGCTGCAGCAATAATTACTATACAATACACAAGGAAGAACAAATTTCAGGAAGCTAATTGCTTCACCCATCATAACTAAATTGCAGGTCATTTTCTCTCTGGTATTGCTCTTAAGTTGTTACTCCCTCCGAAATTCCTCTTTCAGGAAACACTTATTTTCAAATGACTCATTACTGTTGTTGTTATTATTATTAACGCAGTGCTGTATGTGTGCATGGGACTTTGTATAATAGCAACAGGCGATTATCCTGAGCTATTTTAGTTTTCAAATAAACATAAAACAGCAAAAAAGTAAGAGGAGGGATGACAAAGTTAAGCTATACATCTACTTCTATGCTGACATACACCAAATTCCAAACTTGTATAGGCATGGAGTTTTGTTTAAATAAAGAGTTCACCTTTATGGCCCTGTATCTGAATAGGAAAATCATTTGCATTATAAACCCTTAGAAAGAAAAAAGGGGAAAGGAAAAACAACTCCCTTCTTTTGTGTGGGGAAGCAAAAGAATGACCATAAAATCACCCAGTGCAGTTAAAGAACTATTTACTTGAATAACTGACAATTGAACTATACTTATGTGAACAGTTGACAGTACTTAAATACTGTATTTAAAACATGGGTCAGAGAAAAGAAAAATCCATCTGCAGTGTAATTCCATTATAAATACATCAATATTTTCAGAATCTCCTAAGTACCCTGTTGTAAGGTTGAATAATTACTGCAAAGTGAAGAGCATCAAAATGAATTTGGCTACATTTCAAAAACGAGGAAGTATTTTGATACAAATTTTCTTCTTTTAGCCTTCCTTTTCAATTAGAGATTTCGAAAAGCTCTACATCTAACACTGAGGCTATCAGGAAGCTCAAGAATTCATAACCACTGTTCCCAGGACTTTCTTCCTTTTTAACATGAAAGCTGCTTTCTGTCTCTCTTAACTTTCACATCTAAAAACAGCTGCACACTCAATGCTGCAGACTTTACATGTTTATAATCATACCGCAGCCATCCTGAAATCAGTTGAGACTTACGATTTTTATTCCTCTCTGACCAACAAGCTACAAGGAACAATGACTAAGCATTTGGACAGATCAGAGCATTTTGGGGCAAGTAATCCAGAAGGCTATGTAAGGCTATGTAAGGCTCGAAATCAAAGGATGAGAAGCTAAATGCCTGGTAAAGCCAACAGCCAAAGACAATACTTGCCAACACTTCAACCACTCTGAAGCCACACTAAAACATGTATTTTTAAGAAAGAACAGTTGTCCAAGTCCCAGAGTATCCAAGACACTGGTTCATGCATGAGTACTTCACATTTTAAACCTTCTAACTCCAGCCTGTACCAGTCTGCCACAGTGCCAAAAGAACTGCTACACAACTTGGACAGTTCTGCCTCCTCTCAATCATTCATTCCAGCACCAACCTGAGCTGCTCTGAACTTCAATCTTACAAATGAGAGACTGGCTGCAGCAGATCAAAACTTGCTGCAACACAAATTTCATATATCTTACATTTAGAAAGAGGCTGTAACATACAAGATTTCACTCTGGTAAATGGTTTGATAATCAGCTGCACTACAACTTCGAAATCCCACTTTCTATCCTAATGTTTCAGAGCATCTTGTTTTATTAGCAGTATTAACAACTCTGTTATTGAGCAATGTTTGATGAAGAGTGAACTGACAGTATGACTCAAACTTTCTTAAACTTTTAAAAATCTCAACCACTCAGTTTCAGGTCCTTAACCTTCAGATCCATGGTATTTCACCTAGCTTATCAGATGAAAACAGCAACAAAGTCTAGGTGTACAGACTGATATCTTTTTTCTACTGGCCGCCTTTGAAGAGAACAAACATAAAGCTCTTATGACTTGCCTGGAAATATTAACTATATTGTAGCAGAATGCTTTTATTTCTCTCATCCCAAGTTCCAGAAGAACACAGTAATTTCAGATCCTCTCTTCCACTACATCATTCTACCGTTGCCTCCTAATATATACTCTTAACCACGGACAGTTGAGAGTAGGCACATGAAGACAGGAATAATCCCCTGTAAAACTAAATACCCTAAAGAGCATGGTAATGACAAATAATTCTACCACCAACTCTTATATCGTACTGGGGATGGAAATACAGCTAAAGGAATGACAGCTGAAACTCATTTCATATGCTTGAATCTGGAGGCAAATCCAAAGAAAGTATATGCAAATAGCTCTGCACTTGTTTTTACATTCATAATTCCAAGTTATGATTATAATACATTAATTCTTCTAATTTCATAAAAGCAATTAATGAAAATTTCCATAGTAATATACGACTAAAACCAACAATAAATCAGTAAGCACATAGTCCACTGATATTTTTAGAATTTCTCTTAAAAAATACACAAACTATGCTAGAGATAAACAGATCATGACACTTTATCGTTTAGATAAAATACCATGATTTAGTAACATGGCAGAATCCTCAGCATTATGCAGAAAACATCTCCAACAGCTTATACGCTAGGAAACTGAGTAACACTCAAAATGCTTATATGTTGATCTCACCTAAAAAATTAGTAATTTAAGATACTCTGTGCTGATGAGGAATCACTCGTCAGTCCCTTCTGCAAATCCCTCTTCACAAATCTGTCTCATGATTTATTGTAACGTGCTCTGATTTCTGCTTTATTGCTGCTAAAACAGCAGCTCATCCCTTCGAGGCAACTCACTCCTCCACACCTTATTACCACCTTCCAAGATGACTGAGGTAATTTTTCTATATATTTAGTTTCATACTTCACTGACTCCCTTTCTTCTATATCATATAACAGAAATAAATCTTAATTCCTGCTTTTCTCTAGACATCTTAATTTAGCAGCAGATACAAGTGACTGTTCCAACATCTGTGTTACAATGCTAAGCAACAGCGCCAAGCGAAAGCTTGCCAAAACCAGCAGTATACTAATAGGGTGGAGATCAGCATTTACACCTGTGGTTTGAGCACAGCAGTTATAAAATTCTGTACAAAAGGCTCAAAATCACAGCAGGGATGTACTTCAGGAAGTATATGGAAAATATTAAGATCTTATAAACTGAACACGTGTTAACACCACAAGAGCATGCACCAATTGTTAAAGTGCACCATGAGATAATATAAATTACATTCTTCAAAGCCACCTCCATCAATGCACTTACTGAAGAATGATCCTTGGATCTACTTTCTTTAAAAACTCAAAGCAACTGAAAAAATTTTCCTGAATGTCAAAACTAAGAACTTGGATAGTGCCAGACTTACCAAGATCCAAATCCCATGGGTCTCCTATCATAATCAGGCAAGTCTGGAGCTATCTTGCATGCTTCTATGTTCAGGTATTTAAATATGTGGATTTTTCCTTTTATACATATCTTAAAAAAAAAAAAAGGAATAAATTACATAGGTATCACAGTATCACACAGTATCACAGTACGTTAGAGATTGGAAGGGACCTCAAAAGATCATCTAGTCCAATCCCCCTGCCAGAGCAGGAACACCTAGATAAGGTTACACAGGAACGTGTCCAGGCGGGTTTTGAATGTCTCCAGAGAAGGAGACTCCACAACCTCCTGGGCAGCCTGTTCCAGTGTTCCGTCACCTCACTGAGAAGAAGTTTCTTCTCAAGTTTAAGTGGAACCTCTTGTGTTCCAGTTTGTACCCATTTCCCCTTGTCCTATCATTGTTTGTCACTGAGAAGAGCCTGGCTCCATCCTCGTGACACTCCCCCTATAATTTGACAATACATTTTCAAAGTACTCTACAGACATTTAACCTGTAGTTGAGAAGAATAAATGAGGACATTTACATCAACCAACGTATCTTTTCTTCTAATCTCACTGCATTTTAGAGTAACAGGTATACTGGAGCATGACAGGATGCACACGGCAGACAAATGGAAGCTACCCTCCAAGTACATCTGGTCTGCATGCAACTGTGTCAGCTGGATGCTAAAATTTCAACATGCAAACAACATATAGGCATTTACAAGTACTGGAATTTATATCCTTGGCCTCAGAATGATGCATCCCACCCATGCCCAGCTCTGAATGGCAGTAGCAGACTGCCAAAGCAAGCTCAAATTGAAAGTGAATGAAGCCAGTAACAGCTGTTTTTGCTTTCAAAAGGGAGGCAAAAACCTACTTGCTACAGGTCTTAGCAAGTGTCTTCCTGACTCAGAAGCAGCAGCTCACAGTAGAACCTGTAATACTCAGGGGTTTATATACCACATTAAAAAAAATCAAATTAGTCACTAACCATATTGCAGCTTCTAGCTCAAAGGCTAATTTGAGCACCCTGCTGCAAAGTGAACCAGTACATAGCAGCACTGAGGCCTCAGTCAAAATTCTGACATTTGAGTGGCACAAAATCAGTCTTGCCTAACAGAGCTTCCTCTCTCTTACACCAAAAGCAGAAGTGTTCTGCTAACATTAACAGCAGTACAATGCTAACAGGGGAATTCTTGGTAATATCCCATCAATGAGACTACTAATACAGTAAAGCAAAAGAAGAAAAGGGACTTCTCAAGCTGTGCTGTGTATTTAACACTATTAGTTAATACAGTTTATTTAAAGTCCTCTTGTTCTTAAATAAAGCTCGTAATATAATCCTTCAGCACCCAACTTTGTTCTGCCCTTTTTAGTTGAACTAGTCCATCTGTATTCCTAGCTGCAGTTTACCTGTGCAGGGGGTGACTGGAGAGGATTGTTCTCTAACATGATGGTCTGCAGATGTCTGAGGTTCCTGTAACAAACTGGTATTGTTGTTATCTTATTGCAGGAGAAATCTAATCGAATCAAAGGCAACTCAGCAAGCTCTGGAGATAGAAAATAAACACACAAATCAGCAGATTAAAAAAGTATTAAAAAATCAAAAGTATAAAACTGTGTGTTTTACAAAATAATTAAATATGCTGCTTCTAGCTCCCACGGGAAGAAAACAGCATCGAAAATACAGAAGTGCTTTAGGTTTCTGCTGTTACAACCGACAGTCTTTATCTCACCTTCAGGTAAACGCACCAAATTATTTCTTCTGACATTTAGGTCCCGCAAGGATTCCAAATTTCCAATCTGTGGAGGTATTGTCTGTATTTCATTACAGCTCACGTCCTAGAAAACAAGAGTAAAGAATGAGTTATCACTGACTGGTAGGCTTCTGTTAACTAAAATATGTAGCACTTTATTTACGGACTGAAAAAGACAACTGTTTACATAACATCTCAGATCCCTATATTCCTTAATCTCATTGCTGAAATGAAGCATTATTCTCAATTTAAATACACGGGGAAATAAAAGTTTTACAAAGATTTAAGCATTCAGATGTAGAGGGCTATTTCAAGTTATCACATTCAAGTTATTCTATATTATCTGAGAGAGCACAGCTTGCTACATAAAAGCTTTTTGACAGAAACAAAAGCATGAAGAGCTCTAATTCCATCCAGCCTTCCTTTAAAAATTAAGGAAGACTTTCAGTTAAATTGACATGGATCATTTGGTCTCCAGTGCAAGGCATCTCTCCCTCATATAAATTTTTTAAGACCTCAGAGTATTTCAAACTCTATCCAAAGTCAAAGCATAGTTGGAGATACTATGGCAGACATAAATCCTCCTTAGGCTAAGAGCAGATGTAAGTAACTTATCATTGCATGCAAGTGACTGGTTTAGAATTACAAAGGTCTCAGCAGAATGAGAAACAGGATGTTGATCTTGTACATGCCCAGATAGCATCCTAGTTACTGCATTATTTTGATCAGTTTAAAAGAAGTTATTTCTTCTGAAGCACATCTGAACCTATTAAACACATCACTTACAAATTCAAGAGAGAATAGTAATAGTTAAAAAATAACTGCATACTCACAAGCTCTGTCAGCTGTCTGAGCTGTCCAATTTCTTCAGGTATTGAAACCAACTTATTATTACTTGCTATCAAGACTTTTAGTGGTAGACTACAGAGGTGTACTGGCAATGTGGAAAGCTGGTTTCGACTTTTTGGACAGAAAGAAAACAAAATCATCAGAACCCTAATGAACTCACATTCCAACGCAAAGAAAGACACATACAAGAAGCACATTACAATTATATAAAATCTGAGTTGATCATCTAATTAATGTAAAAGTAGTTCTCTTAAGTCATTCTTCATTACTTGCTTTATCCAGTTACATGTAAACAAACTCTGAATATCAAGTACCAAACCTGATCAGATGTTTTTGAACTCAGGTGCTGGGAAATGTGTTATTTCAGGTGCTTCTGATGAGGGGCCACCCTCTGTCACAAATGACTACGAACAGAGTGCAAAAGCCTTTCAGATAGGTAGTACTGCAGGTGGGCACATACAAAATGCCACAGAGAAAGTCAGTACTTACTGAATATTTAAAGTATATTTCTAATTGAGCAAGTCATGCGGATCAAAAATCATGGTGTGCTGGATTTCACTATTACAAAATGCAGCCTTGAACATTTCACAATAAACTACTATTAAAGCAAATATGAGGTCATATGACTGGACTGTAACCTCAGATGAGGAACAGGAAGGATGAGAATGGACTGTAAGAGACAAAGATTCCCTTTAAAAATAAAACATAGAAAGGAGCAGTGACTGGATGATTAGAAAGAATTTTATTAGGATCTTAATTAAGGCTTTGATCAGATGTTGACATTTAGCAAAATAGACTGCTGTATTTTTTCATACTTGTAATCAAGATTTCCCTGCTATTAAAGAAAAAAGTTCTGAGCAGTAGTAGGTGAATCAACAGCAACTTTTAAAAGGATAATAATTGGACTGCACCTACTAGAGATCATAGCAATAGGAAACCCATACCTGATTCATATCCTATTCCTACAATTCTCACCATCAATAAAGAAAATAAAGAAACATAAGTATACTAAATTGGCAAAAGGGTAGCAACAGAAAAAAACAGCCTGATGTTTTTCCTGATTGGTATCACTGCCAATTTGTGATGAGGCACTTTCCATGCCTCTTAAAAGGCCTACAAACGGAGGATGCTGTACACAGTTAAATTAAATCAACAGCCTGAGTTGCACCAATTAGCTTTTGCACCAATTAGCTTTTTGGCAATGCTGCCAGAGTCGTATTAATGCTTAAGAAAGATCTTTAAAAACTATCAATGCGGCAAAAGTAAAGGAAAACTGCATAAGCCTTGCTCAGCTGCTGAGAGCTGAAATGTAAAGACTGCCTAAAAGCTCTATCACCTCTTTCCAGTCTGCATGCCTGTATTTCACATGAAAACTACTGGAATTCATTTGGCTATTTCTTTAAGCTGGTATTAGCTTTCTTCTTCATACTCAGTTCCACAAGCTGCTAGTTAATCCTCATGCTCCTGATCCACCTGAGTGGGTAAGACTGGTTCAGGCTGCTTTGATCCAATGACATACAATAAAACAATGTGATGATCACACACCATGTTAGCACTACTTACAGATGCATTAAAATTTATAAACCTAGACTACTGATGCTAAAGCAAAATTTCTAAGACAATAATTACCTGATATTTAGAAATGTTAAAGACTGTAAGTTCAAAATAGCCTCTGGGATGTATCGAATGCAGTTCTGGTACAAATTAAGACTCTCGAGGGAGACAAAGTGACATGCTTCTGCTGGAAGCTCTGACAGTCTGTTCCGTGACAAATCTGAAGGGAGGGAAAAAAGAAACATTCAGTAAAGTGCTTAAAACTTCATGAGGACAAGTATTGTCTGTGTATTTGCTGTCACACAGTTGGACCGGAATCAGTTTCACTGTCCTGCCTACAAGAGTTTCAAAGTTATGAAGTGACTCACTTCACGCATGAAATACATCAACATCTTTTAAAATCTTACAGCCACAGTGAGAGAGAGCCTGATGCAACACTCCTTTCGTAGCCAGACTTCCATATCCCAAAATGCCTTATGCTTAGAGGAAGACACTTTAAGATGCTGAAAGCCCAGCTTCAAATCTCTGTACCAAGACTATCTTTAAATAATGGAATTGGTACTGAGTGGCCAGTGCTGGAATGAAAAGAATCAGAAAGTACTTTTCTCCCAGCCCTCTACTAAGGTACTCAATGCTACGTGAAAACCTCAGATTTTTAGTCTAAAATACATACTTCATATAGATACATGTATATTCATGTGTAACACTCCCAACAGGGGAAACATGAGGCACACACTTCAGACAAGCCTCCTCTACTTTAGCCAAAGCATTCCCTCCTTCAGAGAGATACAGTTCAAGCCTGTAATCTCAACCAGGCAAAGGAACGGTTTGCAATAAAGGGTCTTCCCAGCTGCAGAGAAATGATCTGCTTGCTGCTATCAGTAAAATTTACTGTTATCTTTGTGATCGTATATTCTTCCCTCAGCAAAAGATAACACGTTCCACCAAAACTCCTACCAAACTCTGTATATGAGGAATCAGTATTTTTCCTTAGCCAGTTCCAGTTACCAGTCTATTTGCATTAAATACCCATTGGTAATACTCTCCTTCAAAAGTACTGACGCACGGAACACTCGGTGGATAAAGAACTGGCTCACAACTCAGAGAGTTCTGGCCAATGCCCAAATGGAGACCAATGACAAGTGGTGCTCCTCAGGGGTCAGTATTGGGACCGGTGCTGTATAACACCTTTGTCGGTGACATGGACAGTGGGATTGAGTGCACCCTCAGCAAGTTTGCTGATGACACCAAGCTGTGTGTCCACACTCCACCTGGAGTACTGCTAAGGACTAAGGTCCCTTCCAACCCTAACCATTCTGTGATTCTATGATAAAAGCTGCATTGTGATAAATAATGCAGCTGCAAAGGGCTCTTGTTTTTAAAGGTTAAAGCAAGCTTTTGCTTATAATGCCAGCTCCTGCTTCCTAACACACCCAGCTCTTAATACTGACAGGAGTTATGCTCACATCAAGATCACCTGTTGCCAGCAGGGAGTTCCTACAGACATACTTCCTGTTTAATAAACTAACTCTTCACCTTAATATTTTTAAGGGAGGGCAGATATTCATTGTAAGAACCCATGTAAACTGAATCAGTGTTATAAATGATTAAAAAATAAATAATCCAAGTTTAACTGCTACTTTGTATTGAATTTCGAATTTTCCTCAACAGCATAAAGGATGAAGGAACCATCAGATTATTTTTTTAAGACTGCCAATGCAGTCTTAAAGAACAGAACAAAACTCTTTGTCCATTCAGCAATGAGTATTTAACAAAAACAAAATAAATCACACCAAGTGCTTCTTTCCAGCTTGAATCAGACTCAAACATGACCTCAGCTTAAACTTGTCCATACTTGATTCTGAAAAATCAACAGTCGGAGGCAAAACTACAAAATAACAGAAGCCACCAATATTAAGTGTGCATCACATGTCTTGAATTATTTAGTTGCCTTATGTCAGGAAACAATTTGAGATCTTTGCCCCTTTTATCTTTGCATGAAGAATACCTCTTTTCCACTTTTCTTTGACGAGTGAAGGAAAAACTGCTCTTAGAATTGCTAAAGGCAGATTCCATAAACATCCCGATCTTACCATATGCCAATCCAGATACAACATCAGATAAATGCATCAAATGCAAGGAAAGACCACCGTGATAGGTCCTGCTTCCTGCTACTTGCCAAACCGAAAGTCTTCTTACTTCTGTTGCTCATCCCAAGCCCTTGTATTGTCACGAGTTTGTTGGAAATCCTGTCTGAATTAAAAACGGGTTTTTTTCTGTGCCCCTCAGCACTCAGCCCTACAAACCCTAAGCCAGCACCAGGGAAAAACGACGGTGCAGGCAGCAGAGTCCCTTGCTCCGGTGGCATGGATTATTTTTGCCTATTTAAAGCACTCGTCAAACTCCAGCTTAAGTGGAAACAGCAAATGAACCTGGCTGATCAGAATCTGCTTAAGAAGCTGTAGATAGTACAGGAGTCAATAAAGCAATTGTCTATATCCTGCTTGCTTCACACAGTACACACTTTCTAAGGAATTTCTGCAATGGACACTTATTTTGCACAAGCCTTTTCCCTTAATATACTAGCCTGTCCTAGGGTTTCTTCTGCTTTACTTCCATAATATATTTTTTATTCATGTTTCAGTGAGAATGACAGCAAACTCCAGCTCTCCCCTCCTCCATGCTGTACAGCTGCAGTAAATTCAAAGCAGAGTAAATAGCGCTAAAACTATGCAACAATGCAATGTCCAAAATGGCAACATTCCCAAACATATCTCTCCTGTGTTGTAATACATAACAGAAGAGCCATTTCCAAACAAACATATTGTCCCAACGCATAAAAATGATGTGCCCCAAAAAGTTTCTTGTAAGTGCAGCCACTCACAGTATTTGGAATTACTGAAATTATCTGTTACACATACAACTCACCGTTAAGGTTTCACTGCACAGTTGTATGTTGCCATAAAAGAAAGGGAGAAGAATGCAAGTTATTTCGGAGATGTTAAGAAACAAGCAAAGGTAATTTAGAAAGAATACTTAGGTTCCACACTGACTAGATGTTTAAGCACCTACTTAAAGAATTACACCACTGGTTCACTGTAAGGTGCATTCTTCTTAGGGACTCTGGAGGATGGAACAGAATTCCACCAGTTATCTCACAATGTAACAACATCCTTCAGCACACAGTTTTAGTCCCCCTTCACACAGCTGTGCTGGCAAAGTCTGTTTTAATACCACCCATTTTAACATTGAAATGGGCTTCCCAAGTAATGAGCCATATTTTCTGGCAGAAGAGTTGCAAAGAAAGAATTTCTTTCAACTCTGTTTTGGAAAGGGTTTAACCACAAACATGAGAATTCACAATTGCTTTTTGTTTCACTTTATCTTACCAAAGAACATTTAAATTCCAGTGTTTACATATCGTGCAGCCCATGAGGCATGAACTAGTTGAGAATTTAACATATTCTGAGCTATGATTTGGAATTTCTATAGAAATAACTCCCTACAAAATAACATTGGGTGTGAAGAAGTGAAAATATATTTTTTTAAACAACAAATGAGCTCATTGCACGATAGAAGAGAGTCACCAAAGCTGGCTAGTCACAACAACTAAGTTTTTCCAGACTTCTCTCAATCTACAGTGATTTTTGAAACTCGGCACTTCTGTTTAGCAGTAGGAATTTGGTGGGAAGCAGATTAAATCGAAGCTGAATTTTGATGCTGCAGTGTAGTCTCTTAAATCATTCAAAGCAGGTCTAACCAATTACAAGCTTGGTTAAGAAGCCTGCAGCATTTTTATCCAGATGATAGCTGTGAGAATGCTAACTCATACACAGCATCCATGATTTCATATGCTTGAATGGGGAGCTAAGAGGGAATGTCTGCCAGGACCATAAAAAAACACAAGTGCTAGAAAAACACAGACTAAGCGATAGAGTCAAACAATATATGATAAAATACAGTGTGAATTCCAAATCAGCAAATGAAGAACTGCTTTTGGTCATTCATAATCGCTGCCTTGCCCCTTTGCAAACCTCCAACAAGTATTTCAATTTCCCTAAGTCCCTAAGACTCAGTGACATTTTTGATTTTGGCCAATTTCTCTGGAACCCTCCTCCACTCCAGAAAGTGGACCTTAAATGGACCCAGAAATGGGGCAGAGACTGCAGCAGTCATTGTATGAAATGATTCAACAACTTCATCCTCTTCCACCCCTTCTTCCTAAAAATACCTGAATGAAAGGAACAGCTCTAACAAAACCAGGAGAGAAATAAAGACACCAGTGATTGGTTAGATATTTACACATACGTTACCCTGTAGTATGGCAGTAGCTGATGTTTTTCCAAAAGAGAAAGTGGTGAAGGAACAAAACTTAAGGTATTTTATTGAAAATACATTGTCAAATAAGACTTGTTTTAGTGATACTTTTCTGCTACTGTATGCATAAAATAACTTCAACTACAACCAGAAAACCAGAACGTGCTACAGTATAAATTACTAAAGTTACAAACTAAAAGTTCTGCAAAGATTTCTCTCAACTTCTCAGAAGAACATTGTAGTGAATTCTTATTTAGTTTTTTTCATTTTTTTTAAACAAATGCTACAGCATGAATTAAAAACCAATTGCTAACTGTCAAATCAAGCACGGAGTAATCAGCATGATGCAGATTATTTGCTTTACTATGTATGTACACACACCCTTGCTGCTTGACATACCATGAACTCCAAAGAGCAAATGACTGATTCTCCCCCAAAAGCACAAATCTTGAATTTCAGTACGAGTAAGTGTATGAGTGGAATATAGCTAATATAATTTGAAGTAGATTCACTTGTGGTCACATTTTATGGGCTAAAATTGCTGTTACCAGAAATCTGCTTTAAAAAAGGCTCTCGTAGCCTGCTAAAAATGGACATGTTTCCTTGAAGGCAAGATTATGTGGAATTTTGGCAAAGGAGAAGCATTCTTTGGAACTAAGCTCTTTGTGAAAGATAATAAAGCCAAGAGTACAAACACAAAATGAAACCTTGGAGTGGAGTAAGATCACTGACCTTTTCCGTCTTAATTGGGATTCCGTTCAGAAAGCCAGTAAATCCAACGTTAAATGTGACTAGGGAATACAATACGTTTAAAATTGCATCATTTGGCTCTAAACTTAAACTGTTCCTGCTCAAAGAATGCTCCTCTGACACCAAATATTAGCAGGGCTGTGTTCACATATC